TGAAAAGAGAGATTGAAGTAGCAGAGATGAAAAGAAAGAAAAAAAATCAGGGGACTATTCCAAAGAGTGCTCGATGTTTTTCCAACGCTACTCTGGCAAGAGGTTTGGTTAACATATCCACCAACATGTCCTTGGTTAAGACATGTAATAGAGAGATGTCACCCTCTTGAACACACTCTCTTATGAAATGGTATCTGGCATGGATGTGTTTGGTTCTGGCATGATGCTCCGTATTTTTTGCTAGTGCTTCAGCGCCTTCATTGTCAACATGTAGAGGTATCGCAGTGTCAGGCCAAAGACAAAGTTCTGTCAGGAGGTGTTGAAGCCAGAGGCCTTCCTTACAGGAGTCTGATAGATCTTTGTATTCGGCCTCTGTGCTGGAAAGAGAGACGGTGGCCTGCTTTCGTGACTTCCAGGATATGGCTCCATCACCAATGTGATAGGTGTAGGCAGAGGTAGACCGTCTGTCATGGCGGTCTTCAGCCCAGTTGGAATCAGAGTATCCTGAGAAGAGAAGATCTCCTCCAAGACAAAGCTTGAGATCTCTAGTTGTTGCCAGATAGTTGATAATTTGAAGCCCAGCTTGCCAATGTGCCTCTGAGGGATCTCAAAGGTGTTGAGATAGACGATTGACTGCACAGGATATGTTGGGGCGAGTACACTGCAATACCCAGAGAAGCAATCCAATCAGCTGAGGGTATGGCCCAGATGAGACTGGGTCAGATGGTAGTCGGTGGGTCAGGAGCTTGAAGCAGGAATCCGTGGGAGTAGCAACAGAGATGGGCTTATCATCAAGAAAGCGAGTGCAAAGTTCAGAAATGTAGTGGGACTGATTCAGGAAAACATGTTTGTCTGGAATGTTCTGAGTGATCTTCAGTGACAAAAAATGATTGAGTTCTTCATTGGCACCGACCTTGAAGTGTTTCCCTATGGAGGCAATGAGAGAGTCAACAAAGGAATGTTCACCAACTATGGCAAGGTCATCGACGTGAGTAGTGAGAGCCCCGATTAGCTTGTTGTCCTTCAGCTTGAAGTAGAGAGTGGGGTCATATTTGGAGTTGGAGAGACCCAGATCTATCAAAGCTTTGTGGAGTTCAATATTCCACTGACAGGGAGATTGTTTCAGACCATAGAGAGAACGATTGACTTCACAGACCCAGTCAGGATGTTGCAGGTCTTCAAATCCAGGAGGGCCATTGAGGAAGGCTGTTTTGAAGTCAACTTGACGGCCTTTGCAGCCACAGTTAGCTAGAAGACTGAAGATAAGCCAAAGAGTTTCGAGTCGGAGAGTAGGGGAGAAAACTTCATTGTAGTCTAGACCGTGTACTTGAGAGTATCCCATTGCAACCAGACAAGCCTTGAGTTTCTGGATGCTACGGTTGGGACGGCGTTTGACCTTGAAGACCCACTTGGATTTGATGATTTTTTGCTTCTTGGGATGGGGAACCAAACGCCAAGTTTTCATTCCTAAGAGAGGAGAACTCCTCATCAGCTGCCTTGAGCCACCTGTGTTTGTTTGGAGACTTGAGAAGTTGACGCCAGGTCTTAGGTGTATCCACGTCTGTTTTGGCAGTGGCATTCTTGGACCATTGACCATAACGATCTGGGGCACAACGGTCACGGTTAGATTGGCGCTTAGTTGGAGATGGAGGTGGAGGCGGTGAGGGAGACTTGGGGTGAGGCGAAGGGGGGTGGGTACCTGGAGAAACGTGAATCGGAGAGGGAGAATGGTTGGAGAGAGGTGAGGAAGGGGTGAAGGGGGATGAGGGAAGAGGAGGAAGCGAGATGATGGATATGTCAGGTGACTGGATAGGTGAGCTTTTAGACGAGTCAGAGTCAGAAGAGATGGGAACAGGGTCCCTTGGAGCATTTCCAGGAGCATGAATTGAAGCTGTGAGTCGCCTGTCAAAACGGGGTTGAAGGGGAATATCAAGAGGAGGCAAATCTGTGGGAGTGACCCACAAGTCGGTGGGATTGGCTGCAGATTCTGCAGGACCAACTTGTGGACAAATTGAAGTCTCAGGAGATTTTGTGACGTTGCTGGAATAGGCCAGGAGATTTCTACTGAAATTGGATTTGGGGATGATTTGAGTTCAGCTCCATACGGGAAAGTGGTATCCTCAAACATGGTGTCACAAGACTGATGACAGAGCGTTTTGAGATCCCAGAGTCAAAAACCGTTGCCGTCGGGTAGGTATGAGAGTAGGATTGAGGCTCGGCCCTGTGGTCAATAGTTTTCCTAGTTGGTTCTGGGATCTTGTACCTTACCAGACAACCAAATGGATGAATTGCTTTAAGATCAGCATTTTCAGTTTGGAGAATAGAGGAGGGAGATTTGAACCCCAGGGGGGTGTTGCAGGGAAATGAGTTGAAGGGAAAGAGGGAGTGTTGCAACACATCTGCCCAGAATGACTTGGGGACATTGGCTTGAATGAGGGAGGCTCTGACCAAGTTGTTGATGGTTCTGTTTGATCTTTCAGCTACACCGTTTAGTTGAGGAGAGTGAGGTGGCCCAGGTTCATGCTTGATACCAGATGCGGTGAGATAGGAGGAAAATTGGTTTGACATGTATTCTCCGCCGTTGTCAGTGCGTAACGCGAGGATCTTGTGGGAACCATTCTTCTCAAAGAAGGAACAAAAAATTTTAAAACACGAAAAGGCTTTGCTTTTTAATTTCATGGGATAGACAGTGAGAAATTTTGAGCAATCATCTACAAAAGTAATGAAATATTTGTATCCTTCTCAAGAGACTGTTTCGTATGACGCCACATCTGAATGGATCAGTTGGCCAGGTGAGGTGGAGCGGTGAGCTGAGCAAGACTTGAACGCTTTGCGGGGCATTTTTGCTTGTACACAGACTTGGCATCGTTGAACGTCGATTTCGTTCATAACTGAGGGAATGATGCCATTAGTTTTCAGAAGTAGCTTGAGGGGTTTAAGGCTGATGTGTGAGAAGCGGCAATGATATCCAAAGAGAGAGTGGCCGGGTAGTTGAGTAGATAGAGAAAGAGATGAACGGGAGCTCACAGGCTCAGATGGAAGATAGTACAGGTTCCCTTGCCTGTATCCTTGTCCAGCCAAATCCCCATTGAACTTGGTGGAGGAGGTCTTGAGAATGTCGCACAAGGTTTTGGTGAAAACTACCGTGAGGCCCTTGTCACATAGGTTTGCCACCAAGAGTAGTGGTTTGTGGAGAGAAGGGACAACTAGTGTCTTGATGGAGGTGTTGCCTTCAATGGGCAATTTGGCAATACCTCGGTGAGTAGCCTCCACAACAGAGTGGTCTGCAAGTTGGACCGGTGTGGAGTCGGGGCGGGGGTCGACAACTGAGGAGAGATCCGGAGTCATGGAAAGAGAACAGCCAGAGTCGATGTTGGCATTGGTGCCGGAGAAAGGCTGGATAGCGGTTGAGAGGGAGGCGACTACGTTGCCCGCAGTAACCTCAATTTTGGAACCGGATGAGTCGGATTCCTCATCCTCGTCATACACTAGAGATGTCACTCAATACCCGGGTACCTGTAGCGGGTAAGGGGACTTGTAGCGGGTGCGGGTACCTGCCTCAAAAATCCAATATTTTTGACACCCACACCTGCTAGGGCCACCAGGGCGGGTACCCAGGTACCTGCGCCGGTTACCTGCGGGTACCTGGCACATTTTTGCAGGCAAATATACCCAGAAATCTCACCCTTGAATTTCTGCATGACTTGGTAAATATAAGGTTGATATTCACTAGATATATGAGTAAGAATAAAATAAAAATGGAGAAATAAAGAAAAACAAATTATTCTATCACTAATTTGAATTTTATCTTCTCTCTGATCTATCTTTAGCTTTACCCTTTTGCTTGGCCTCATTTGCCTTATTCAATGTCCATTGATGAAGACTCTACACCCTCTTTATGACTGAAGGAATTCCTCCAGTCATCAAGACTGTACACCATCTCAAAGGCCGGAGGGAACCCTCTGGCCTCAACAAAGCAACCTAGTTCAGCAACACATGTAAGACACCAGCTGGTGTCCTACATGGGTTGCTGACACCTTTGTGCAGCCCAACACACCCAAAAAAGGGAGTGTTGGACCACCAATGATAAATTAAATTCTTCAGGGGAAGCATTCCCAGGGCGGGTGTAAGGCAGGTACCCGGGTACCTGCCTTCTTTTACCGCGAATGTCCACACCCGCACCCGCACCCGCACCTGTTTTTACCTCAAATGTTGACACCCGCACCCGCACCCGGTACCTGTTTCCGGGTACCTGCTTTGGAAAACAGGTACCGGGTACCTGCAAACAGGTACCTGCTGACATCTCTATCATACACGTGGGATGGACCCCCTAACGTGGCCGCTGAAGTGCGTCCTGCCCAAGCAGCAGGCTTCCCAGAGTGTGAAGAGGACATGTTTGAGTCCTTTTGATCAGCTCAAGGCTTCTGATTGGCCTTGTGCTCATTCACGAGTCTGCGGGTATTCTTGCAGTGGTTGAGGTCATGCCCAACAACATTGCATAAGAAGCAGTGTCGCTTCTTGGCATTAGAGGAAGGGGTTTTGGCCTTTGTAGATGAAACGGAGGTGATGACCACGTCTTGTTGGGACTGTCGTCGGACATGTTTGTTCTTTAACACCTGAACAATAGACTCGGTCTTGACCCCCTCTTGATTCATCAGCGCCAAAACGCAATGGATCCAGTTGGGGGGAATAGAACTCAGCAGCGCTGCTGAGTGGACGTCGTCTGGGGTTAGCGGTTTCTTGGGCGTGACGAGAGAGTTGAGCCGCTCGTGAAATTTTGCAAGCAAGTCGATGTGGGCAATAATGTCGTCCCCTTCCATCTTGGCGAGAAGGAGCTTTCAAATCCAGAATACCCGCCCACCAGTTGTTGAGTCCTGGTGGGCTTGAAGGAGGGAGGTCCACATCTTGTAGGCATTGCGACGAGAATCCCGGATGTGTCGAAGGTTCAAGGAGTCAATCGCTTGAGTGATAACAGCGCAGACGGCCTTGTTGTCGGCCGTTCAACTAGCCGGCCGAAGCTCGGGCTTTGTATCTTGGAGAATGTAATCCACTCTGGCCGCTTCAAAATAGGAAGTAACAACAAACTTCCAGTCTAGATCATAGTTGGAGTACGGGCCGGAAGCGGAGAGGACCGGAAGCCTGGCCAAAGAGATTTTTTGGGAGGGGTTTGTGGTCGGATCCACACCAACGTTGACGGTGATTTTGCCTTTAGGGTTGGCCGGAACTGACGCAGAGGTGTTGGGAGAATTGTCTGCCATCCTAGCACTAACGACTATGATCATAGATGATTTTAGTTGTACAACAGCGGTTACTCTTAGTAAGTGTTTTACGTGACTGAGCTTGATTGTAGCCAGCTAGCGCGGGCTCATAACCTGATAAGCTAAACTGGGGCTGAGATCAGCCGGCACGAGGTGAGGTGAGCGGCCGTGGTACGTGGAAGGATCAATATATCATTTCACAGTATCACCAAGAGAAGAAAAACAGAAGAAAAAGAAAGAGACACATACCTGAGATCAGCGGGCACGAGGTGAGGTGAGTGGCCGTGGTACGTGGAAGGATGAGGAAAGGATCCTTCCACGCCTGCTGTCTCAGGTACACTACATAACATGTGAAATGTGAGTGAAATATGAGAGACATGTATAAAGCAGAGGAAGAAAAACAGAGATGAATATGCATAGCTCAACAGACAATGATTTCTAATCTTATCTCAGATTCCTCGGATGTTGTGTCTTCTTCAGCAGGTTTCTTGCATGGCCTCCCACGCTTCTTGGGTACCTGATTTAAGGGAATTTATGAAACATTTATTGACTGGGAAGAAGTAGGTTAGATGAGATGATTCAAATAAATAGAACACACTTTTGGCTTATCAGACTCCACTGCCTTCCTTGGATGTCCTCTCTTCTTTTTCTTCTCTTGGTATTCAAACTCAGATGGATCCCTCTTGGTCAAAGTTGTGAAGTTGTGTTTTTTGTTCACAGATCCAGCAGGCCTTCCTCGAATGGCTTTCACTTTTTGCTCTTGAGTCGCAACCAATGTATACTTGCCTTCCAAAAGCTTGAAAATTTCTGATAGTTAAAATGATTGCTTGCCTGGTTGAAAAGTTTGGAATATCTTGAAAAGGTCGTGCTGAAAGGTTTCTTCATTGATTTTTTTTTTTGGTTGAGTTGATGTTTCAAAGTCGGGCAGTGTTGCGTCAATTTTCTGTGTGAAATTGCCAATGCAAACAAGCCCAGATGATCAGATTCCAAATCAACATGTATATCAAACCCACCAAAAACGATGTGAGAAATAAACTGACCAGGTCCTGATTCACATGCCATTTGACATGGAAGTCATTGACATCAAACTTGGTACCCTCACGTGCGGCAGATTGGATGTGATGGATACATGGAATCCCCATGTGTGAAGAATAGGTTCCTGAACAGATTGTAGTCACTTTTTTGGCCTTGTGGAATGAGTGACATATTTTCAAAGTGTAGTGAGTGATCTTTCCGTTGAGATTTTCAATTGAAGGAGGCAAGCCAATGAGCTGTTTGTAAGACTGTTGTGATGCTTCAATAAATCGTTCGTGGAGTTGAATTGAAACAGCTTGATGAATTTGTTTGACTACTGCGGAAAATGAACCGGTCGATGAGGCAATGAATTGTTTGATATAAGCATGGAGACCTTTGACGCGAGAAGTGACAGCGTTTCCAAAATGTGGACTTTGGTGGATGATGTAGGCAACAAATTTGTGTTTGATTGGAAACCAGTTCATGATAAGGTAGTCAGAAGTTGGAGGATTCCACGTCTTGGAGAGTGCAGTAAATTTGTCTTGATAATCGGTTTCCGTTACAGATGCGACCAAATTATTCCAGGCGCTAAGAAATAATTCCCAAGCTTCTTCAGATTTGAAGTGTTTGTGGCACTGTGCTTTGATGTTTTTCGTGATATGCCAACAGCAAATAAGGTGAGAAGCATCTGGGAAAACTTGCTCAATAGCATTCAAGAGGGCTTGTTCTTTGTTGGTGGCAAGGACAGAGGGGGATTGACCGTCTCAAGCTATGGAAAATTGCTCTAAAGCCCAGGTATAGTCTTCTTCTTTTTCTCCAGAGAGCAGCATAGAAAGATTGGTTGGAACTATTCATCCCTACAATATGCAATAAAGGCATTTTGTATTTGTTGGTCTTATAGGTACAATCAAGGAGGAAGGTGGTGTGAAATTTTTTAGCCAAAATAAGGGAGTTGGGATGAGAAAAAAAGAGAGCTTTCATTTGGCCTTCATGATTCTGGATAATGTGATAAAAGTTGGAATTGCGGATTTCAAAGATAAGGGCTTCAACAGGTGAACGTCCATTGAGGTGCTCCATTCTCATCCTGTTTCGGTGATTGTATATATTATTTAAAGTGGAGGAGCAGGGGGTCTCAGTCTGATGCATCAAAGCGGCTTTAATTTGGAGAGGGGCTACACCAGCATTGGTCATGTTAGTGACTATTTCTTGCTGCTCTACATTCATTCTACGGTGGACAGCATGAGTGGCAGAGTTTTCAGAAGGTGGGTGGTTGTGGTGGGCATTTTTGATGACTAGTCTCCACTGTTTTTCCCTTTTGTAGTAATTCCCAGTAAACTTAAAAAGACAGTTGGTCTTTTTGGTCTTTGTTAATTGACCTTCTGGTTTTTCAGCTGAATGACAAGTTCCAGATCTGTCACATTGGTATGCATATCTCAGCTCTGGACCATTTTTGGTGGAGTGGGTTATGATTATAGCATACCCATGCTCCCTGGCCCAGGACTGAGCAGCTTCAAACAGCTGATTTTGGGTTGCATAAGTCAATTCAGGAGTAGGGGGCATTGGATGGGATGGGTCTTCCGGGGCATCTTGGGGTAGAGATTGTCCTTTTTCAGACATTATTCAAGATTTTATAGGGGATGGAGGGGACTTTTGAAAGATAGAGAGAAAAAAATAGAACTTGAAGAGGGTTTTTGGTTGGGGAAAAAATAGGTTTTTTGATAAAAAAAAGAAGATGGTGGAGAGTTTTTTTTTGTGTGGAATTTGTTTGAGGGGTGGTGAAGATATGGTGGTTGAAATTGAGGTGTTTTGAGAAAAAAAGAAGACAGTAGCAAGCTTTGGGGAGGTCTTCCGATTCTTTTGGTGTTTTTTTGGTTGAAATTGGGTGTGAGGTGGTCAAGATATTGAGGTTGGTGTGTTTGGTGAAGGTCCTTTGATCGCTGTTTGGTTATTGGAGCCGGGTGGTGATCAGAGTTTGAAATTTTGTCTACGGAGGCACTCGCGCGACCTGGAGAAGCTTCAAATTGAATATATGCAATATTAGAGTGAAAAAACTTGGATTTCACTCTAATTATGTAATCAAGCCAAATCCGGGTGGAAACGCGGAAAACCGGGTTGAAAATAAAAATTAAAATTAAAATCCAATTTAAGGATTATTAAAACCAGCATTTTAGATGATTCTAAAAATTATCCTTAACCTCCATAGCCCCATGAAAAAGGAGAAATGAAACCGGGTTTTTATGCAGAAAACCGGGTGTGGGGAACCGGGTTTAGACCGGAAAACCCAGGTACGTTTATTAATCCCCTAAAATAATAAGGGTATTATTTCTCAATATTCTTAATCTATATGAAGAATATCCTAGGGTACCTCACTCAAAGGTACCCTATATTTCAACTACTTCATGCGGCAAATCCACATGAAAGATATAGAGTGTACCTTCAAGCAGGAGATGAAATATGCTTATGTTTATAATTAAATATGCTAATAAACAGGGTTAAGACCTGAAACTGATTTATGGTTTCAAACATACAATTGTATATTGATAACACTTGTGTGGCACATTTCCAATGAAATAGCCACATGTTTCAGCTTTAATTTTCTACAGAACACCTCTGGCACATTTCCAAGGAGATGGTCACATGTTTCAGCTTCCATGCATGAAGCGCCCACAGGTTGACCCTGATCTCCTAGATGCCTCCACGGGTATATAAAGAGCCCTCTGTCCCCCCCAAATAAGGATTCATCAGGTTATTACAACCCACTTTAGATTAACCACCTTCCCAAATGCTTAACATTTGTATCTGTCTGGTAATGTATTGTCTTTTGCTTTAATTCTCTGTCCATTTAAACCTCAAGAATCAAGGGAAATTATTAGTACATTATAATGCCGCCTTCTTTCTTGATATCTTCACTACTTTATTCTGGGATTTAAACCACACCTGTTCACAGGCCCCAGTGTTAACAGGTACCTAAATCCTCTGCTTTTGCATGATACCTTTGAGGGATTAAACAACCCCTGATTTATCAGGCCCCTCTGTTTACATTATATCAACATTTATTAATATAATTAATCATATCTACTATTTATAAACCTTGTAATTACCAATCATCATTGGAATTACCACCCGGACTCTTCAGTCCCAGATTTCAAACTTTAACATCTTAAGTTTTGCACCACATGTAGCTGACAGCAAGGCTCAAGCAGTTGGAGAGTTGCAGGTCACTTGATCACAGGTTTGATGAGAGTCAGTGACTCGGTTTTACAATCCTGAACTTTGAGGTCTCAATGTGAACGTTGAGAATGCAATGGAAGCATTGTTTGAAGATTGCAAGTTGGTGAATATTGAAATTAATCATGATGGCTGTTGAGTGGTAGTTTTGACTTGTGAATTGTATTGATGAGTCCATGACCGATAAAATGACTCCAGACTACAAGTGGCAACTTGCAAGGATCCTGAATTTTGTTGGCTTCTGAAGCCAACCCACAGACCAGACTGCCCTTAAGTGGGTTGGTAGTCGGGTTTTTGGGCCAACCCAAAATCAAAACTTGCTCATGCCCAAACCCAACCCGGTAATCAAGGGGGTCACATATTTTTTTTTCACATAAATTCAACCCAAACTCGCCCCAAGACCCAATGGGTCATTGTTCACTTGCGGGTCGACCCAACCCACTTTCATCCTTACGAGGAATGGGAGGTGGAAGGCGTACTGGACTGTTGGAAGAGGGGAAGAAGAGTGAAAACTTGGTCATCTGGAAAGGATTTGGACCAGAGGAGAGCTTGTCAGAACCAATGGACAACTTGGAACACTGTTGGGAATTGGATGACAAGTTCAATGTCAAATTTCTGGATGTGGTGTCAAGACACAAGAGGTCACAGAGAATGAAGTGAGAGGAAAAGTTTTTTTTCCCACTGGGTTTTTTAGTGCTGTCCGGGAAAGAATGCAGAGTCAAACAAGGAGGAATTTTTATTATTATTTAGTTCATTAGTTATCATTAAGACAAAAACAGGGGTGGCTTGGGAATTAATGGGGGGATAGTGTTATAAGCTACTGGAGCTGGGACCTGTGATACTACATATGTACATAGCCTGTTTGTTACGTACATGTCAAGAACTTGGAACTTGGAGTTTGTTTGAGATCCACACCTTGGACATCCCTCTTATTGCAATCTACCATCAAGAACCAGAACCCAGAAGATCCCCCCTAATCTCCACAGAACACCCATAACATAGCATAACTAGATACAAACAAAACTTTGTTTGTATGTAGTCTACGCTAGCTCTGCCTTTACAGACTTTTCCGCACTGAATCTGAGACACAATTTTATCTTTGTGATCATTGACTGTCACAAGACTAAGTGGTGTGGTAAGCCAATCCTGAAAATCCAAGCACATCAAGAGTACAAATCACAGAGGAATCACAAGATCAAGACACCCCAGAAAACTCACCAGACCCCCAAACCAATCCAGGCACTATTCATGGATTCCCACAAGCACAGACCACATGGATAATAATATTTCCCAGCCAGAAACTCCACACCCCTGAAGCCCAGTCCCCTCCAAACAATTCACTTCTTCTTACCCCTTGTGTCTCACACTAGTAACAATCCCCTTGCCCATCAAACTGTTATCTCCTCCTATGTTCTTCCATGGAATATTCCACCCCTGATTTGTTTCATACCAGTAACCTTGGGAGCATTTTCCCACTGCTTGTTTCCCCTGTTTCTATGGATCAACATATTTTCCCTTGTTTCATACTCTTCATAGAATGTTCCATTTATCTTCCAACCACAAGCTGGCCACTCCCCAGAATTTTGTATATAAGGAGCTTTGTTTTTCCTCTTCATTTGTTCATCATCAGATCCTGCCCCAGCAATTCAGATAACTGATCACCCACTATTAGCCAGGTATTTGCCCATCAACATTTGGGATACCTTGATTTGTGACAAGTTTATTTAGACTAGTAACCATAAGAAATATTAGACATACCATCCTCAAGAAATCTCCACAGCCACACCTTTTTTCCTTAAGAGTCCATACTCTTATATTTTCTTGTTATCAGAGAGGCAGTCCAATAAGGCACTCATCCCTCTCAAGCTCTATTCCTCCCAAGAGTAGTTCCACAGCGTATGTGACTTTCAGCTTCTCACATGGTCCACCTCAACAGGTTATGAGACCCATTGTTGCTACAGCTCCTCATTGCCTTTGGTTATCAATGACTCTCAAATACTAAACTCAATCAAAATCAACTATCTTCAAATATTCCTATCAGACAGATGAACAACCCTTCTGACTTGATTCAATCAGCCCCTACACTCAATGGTAACTTGGTAAATTTCCCAACTTGGCAATCCAGACTCTTGAACGTTCTGAGTACTTAATATTGTCAACAACACCCTCCCTGGACCAAGTAACTCTGATAATCAAGACAGCAAAGCAGCCGCTTGCTCTCTGGGATAAAGAACCAAGGAAAAACTGATACTGGTATCAGCAACAGTGCAACAGAGACAATATGATACGGTATCAAGTGTTTATCTGTATTGTCTCAGAATTTGAATACCCAAAAATACCGGATTTGTGTTGTCTCACTTTCCTGAGACAATACACACGTATGGTCTTTGGAAAGTGAGACAAGTATTCTGTATCGTCTCAGATGACTGATCCCACCAAAAACGTATTTGATACATAAGATATTTGGCCGTATTGAAGAAAAAACAAAAAACCAAAGACAATTTTTTTTCATTTGTAAATCCAAATCCAATACAATATATTTTTTCACCAACCAAGGAAATATTGATACCGGTATCAGGCTCAAAATAAATACAATACAATCTGATACGAATACATGTCTCGTATCTGTTGCACCGTTGGTATCAGGCTCAAAATAAAGACAATACAAACCAATACCAAATACATCTCTTGTCTTTGTTTCAGTGTTGCTTGATCTTCATCCTTTGTCATCTCTTAGCCACAGGGGCTTGAACCTGTACACTGTAGTACAATCCCGCCCCTTGGGCTTTTTGATGTTGTTTCCTTTGTTGTTGTTTTAGGCCATTATATAAATGACCTCTCTATTGAAGGGGCTCTCTGTATCTTTCATCTCAGAAATCCAGAGGGGTGCCAACTCTGCCCCCCCCCCCAAAAAAAAAAAAAAAAAATATTGAAATTAAAAATTAAAAATAGGAATTGGGGGATTGGAAAAGCAACTCCTGCCAACGGCCCCTCATCCAAAATAGGAGTTGTCAGCAAGGATTTGGGAGTTGTTTTTCCAATCCCCTTCATCATGCAGTCATTTATTCTCTTGATTTTCTACGTGATTGGATCTCTTGCTTTTCTGAGTGATTGGAGGATATTAAGAAATCTTATTTTGACTTGAAAAACACAAAGCCCAGATGGAGAGAAGCAAAAAAAAAGCAAAGCAAAAGGAATGAAAATGAAAATGAAAATGAGAGCAAAAGCTGAAATAAGAGAATCATAGCCACTAATAGAAAACAAAAGGAAAAACAAAAGTCAATATTTGAATGGATCAGTTTCAAGAGAGAGAGATCAGAAAGAAAAACTCATACCTCAACAGTACCAGGAGGCTTGGAAGAAATATCATAAGTGACTCGATTGACACCTGCAACTTCGTTAGTGATACGGGATGAAGCAGCCCTGAGAACGTGAGGAGGGAAATCGAACCCTAATGAAGAGAAAAAAGTAAGGCATTTTGAGTACAAAACTGAGGGGTGGAGTTAGATATAGAAGTTGAAAGGCAGAAGAAAGCTAACAATCGGCAGTCATGAAGTCTTCAGTCTTAACAGCCCTGAGGACGATAACCTGTTCGTAAGTGCGCTTATCGCCTTGAACACCGACGGCTCGGACGGGTAGGAGGACGGCAAAGGCCTGACTGATCTGCTCGTAAAGCCCGGACTCCTTGTGGATCTCTTGGAGGAAGATCTGATCGGCTTTTCGGGCAATGTCGAGCTGGGCTTTATTAACTGGGCCTAAGATACGAATTGCCAAGCCAGGTCCAGGGAAGGGATGTCGATTGGTGAGGTTGGATGGGATGTGTAGCAGCTTTCCTAGTGCTCTCACTTCATCTGTGAGTCGCAATCCAATATGAGCAACGGCAGATAGTTAGAGAATATTCGATTGAATTCAAAAGATTGACCTTTGAATAGCTCGCGAAGGGGCTCAATCAGTTTCAGCTTCATGTTATCCAGCAAGCCACCAACGTTATGATGGGTTTTGATGGTTGCACTGGGACCCTTGAAGCTAATACTCTCAATCACGTCAGGATAGAGAGTACCTTGGAGAAGGAATTTGATCGTTCCTTGATGAGTTTTGGTAGCCTGACTGGCTTGTTGGGCTTCGATCCTTGCAGCCTCGGCCTCGAAGACGTGAATGAATGTGTTCCCGATTAGCTTTCGTTTGGTCTCGGGATCCTCGACATCTTTCAAGACGTCCAGGAAGGTTTGACTAGCATCAACAACCGTTAGATTGACTCCGAGATCGACCTTCAACATCTGTTGAACTTGTTGGGCCTCATCCATACGAAGAAGTCCATTATCAACCATGATTGCATGGAATCGATGGCCGATCGCCTCATTCATTAACTTCGCGGCCACCGAGGAATCGACCCCTCCAGATACTGCTCCAATCACTTGGTCATCTGGCCCCACTACACTTCTAATTCGAGCGATTTCTTTATCGATGAAGGTTGCCTAAACGAACTCGATTGAGCTTGAAATCAAGAAATAAAAACATAAAGTCGAATAGGAGAAAAGCTTACCATGGTCCAATCCGGCTTGCATTGACAGACACCAATCACGAATTTCTCAATGATTTGTTTGCCATTAGTAGAATGAGTGACTTCAGGATGAAATTGAACGCCGTAGATTGGTTTAGATTTGTGGGCGATGGCTGCATAAGGAGCGGAGGAAGTAGTGGCCAAGATTTGAAAATTATCTGGTAAGCTATCTAGACGATCACCGTGAGACATCCAAACCTTTTTTTTTTTGAAGGGTATTCACAAGCGGGTTAGGACACAAGAAAGATCTCGAGTCCTGAAGAAACTTGCTTACCTGAACTTGAGCTCCCAATCCATCGAACAGGACGTTTTTTCCGCCTTCGAGGTTCTCAGCTTTACAGACATCCAACATCGCACTACCGTACTCCTTATGGTCACATGCAATCACTTTCCCTCCAAAGCTTCGCGAAATCTCTTGTAGTCCATAACAGATACCGAAGACTGGAACGCCCAGTTCAAACACCTCGGGATCCACCCTAGGCGAATCGGCCTCGTAGACAGAGTAAGGTGAACCAGACAGAATGATCCCTTTCGGACGCCATTTCAGTTGAGAAACTTTGAATGTACAAGGAAGCATTTCACAATAAACCTGCAAAAAAATCAAAATCAAAAATCAAAATTAGCTCTATGTTCGATAGATGTTTTCTTTCTTTTTTTCTTTGCTCACGTTAAGTTCACGACATCTTCGGGTGATCAGATGAGAATACTGAGACCCGAAATCGAGGATCAATCTGCGAGCAAGAAATGGATTACAGATGATGGTGAGCTACATATACCCAATGAGAAATAGAAATAGGCATAAATATACAAGTCACCGACATTGTATCATAAGACTGAGCCAAATCGGTCAGCGGTACGACGGCTGCATCGGTCGCGATAGTCGAAGCTGTTGACATTTTTGTGGTGAAGGTCGTAAAAATTTTGTATAAGGAATATACTTTTTCAAGAGAAAAGCAAAAGGAAATTTTTGAGCTGAGATCTGAATAGGATGGATGTCTGCTAAAGATGTGGGTGGTGACTGAAACCCTATGTATCCGGACTTCGCCAAGCCTTCCGGACACAGCAGTATGTACATAACTGTGACTCATCTCTCTCTGTTCTCACCTAAATATGCAGACCAATCATTTCAAGATGAGGAAAGAGTAAACTAAAATCAAAACACCAACCTAACATACTTTCAACACTGGAGGACTTCCTGTTGAGATCAGGCACAGATCCTGCAGAATCAATACTGAGAGCCTTGATGGCCAGATTTCTCCACAAAAAAACATGATAAACTTTTTGGGACTGATAAATTGAGATCATCCACAAGGGCCACAGATTTGACATATTGCATAAATTCTTTCACTTTCCTGATCGCACAAGATTTGGCAAATTTTTCAAAAAAACAAAAAACAATTCAGTGAAATTCATGACTAGTCTCCAAGTCTTGACTCAAACTATCCACCCCCTCATTGTCAAATAAACAGCTTACAGGACTTGCCAAAAAACAAGTAGGTTGCTAGTTACAATTGTTAAACATCCATTATGTATTTAGCCAATAAATCCATATTTCTCATGGATTTATTTCTATTTTCATATTTTCACACATTTGATTTCTCTTTTTCTCATCATCACATGCTTGTACGTACAAAAAATACATATAAGTAGTGGTGCTCTGATGGAAATACATCTTTCCCTTGGGGGAATTTTCATTTTCATTTTTTATCCATGGTCTTGCCTTAACAACAATTACAAAGCTGAAAAAAGTGAGCTTATATACTATGTGGGTCCTCCACTGAAGCCTCAAGGATGAAAACATGAATTGATTTAGCCTTTTTAAAAAATGAAGCCACCCATTCTTTATATATTTGTATGGCTTGCAACCAGTGTAGCTTGTGGATGTTGACTGTCAAGATTTGACCAGACATTTTCATAGCTGTCCTAAAATCTACCATGACAAACATGAAGAATAGACAGTAGGATGCTCTCACATATTGGCTAAGGATGATGATAGTCAGGTGATACTACCAAGGGGTTTAATCTTTTCCTTGCTCAGCAGTCACTTTTAGTATATAACCAAGAGTGCTCTTCTCACTGTGAGTGTCCCCTGCTTAGAGATGGTTGCGGATAATCTGCTGTGGATATCCGCTATCCATTGGCGGATACCCGCCAGTGCCAGCGGATACCAGCCAGCGGGTGCGGATGCACCCTTCCCCCTGAAATACTGGCGGGTATCTGGGTATCCCAAGGGATACCCGGTGCCAAGAGGCCACACCGCTGGGAGGAATTGGATTGTTTTACAGCTCGTCAGAAAGGGGTCCTTCCAACAAGCTGGTTTAAAAACCAGCTCGCCGGGAGGGAGGGGGTCCTTCTGATGAGCTGGTCTGTGTACCAGCTTGCAGGGAGTGATTCCTCCCGACAAGCTGGTTTAAAAACCAGCTCGCCGGGTTCCTCCCAACGGTGTGGCCTCTGCCCCTTTAGGCCGAGGGGGCCGGGGGTTTTTTTTTCTTCGTTTTTCTTTAAAAAAAAACACTCTCCTGGAAGAGCCGGCTGCCTTGCCGCCCATTCTGAGGGTGGGTATCCGCCGGCGGATGCGGATGTGTGTTTCCGCTGAAATCATGAGCGGATATCTGCATGCGCGCGGATATCCGGATTCAATGCGACCATCTCTACCCCTGCTCATGTTTTATCTCCTGGCCAGTGTCAGCAAGCACTTTCGTTCATAAGTGCAAGCTTTGGGCTCTTGTTGCTGACAGTCTTCACATAATGCAACCATGAATAAATCATTGATGAGCAACTCTACTCACTTGTCAATTAATACCTATTCTCAAATATCAACATTATATATATAATTTTTTTTTAGATTTCAAATTTCCTTTTCCTTTGTTTTTCATCCATCACAAAACAAAATGAAGAACCCCAAAGCCAACCCAAACACCCATGACTCACAAGACCACCACAACCTGCAAGACCCCCCCCCCCGGCCTGCCAACAAATACAAACAACATCATAAAAAAAATCATTGAACAACTTACATACAAGAAAGAATCAAAGAACAACAAGAAAAGCCACCTAACTTGAGAGAGATGGTCCTGATCTCATCAGCTGAATTGAGCACATAAAATACATGGCTGCATGGGAATATAAACAAATCACACAATTTCCTGTTTTTTTTTTTTCTCCTTTATTTTTCCTAATCTTCTTTTCTTCTTCATCATCCTTTCTTGTTTTTTTTATTTTTTTTTCTTCAGCTACAAGCATAGCATAAATAGCTAATTTTCAATTAAAATAATTCCTCCAAGTCTTTCATATCTCAAGAACCCAATGATCATCAAACCTCATTAAACCAGGCTGAAGAGAGAACAGGACCCAGGAAACCCCCTCAAGAGGTGGGTAACCAAAATGTATGAATTTTTGTGGAAAATCACGAAATCATACGCACGAAAGTGGTATGAATCCGCTCAAAAACCCGACATGGTACGCACGAAAATGGTCCAAAATGTATGAATTTTGGCTCAATCTTGAGGAAAGCCTGCTTACCTGTCACATCCCCGAATTTTTGGGGGCAATTTTCTCACTTTCTGGTGGATTTTCCTGTCAGCATACACACGAAAATGGTATGAATGGCTTCCAAAAATGTATGAATTTTTGCAAAATCCGGGATTTTTGGTTACCCACCTCTAGAGGGGGTTTCCTGGGTCCTGAGAGAACCCCAAGCCCACAAATACATTGACCAATGTGACACAAGGCCCCAAGAAAGAAAACAAAAAGACAAAGAGAACAAAACCCAGCCGTTGCATGAAGAAGGTATCAAAAAAGAAAAGAAAAAAGCAGAAGACAGTGTCCACAATGACAAGCCTGTGTTCTGGTCCATACATAGGACCCAGAAGAGTACAGTAAGACTTCTGCATACACTTACACAAACACACATTATATTATATCATATATATATATATATATAGTCAAACAGATCAACCCAACTTCTTTCTCCCTATCTCTGATCTTTCCTTTTTTTTTTCTCAGTCCCACTCTCTCCTCTCTTTTCTTTTCTTTTGTTTCCTTTCTCCTTTTCTTTTTTTTTCATCTTGACCATCTCTTTCTTCATCTATCTTTTCTTTTCTACTTTTTTTTATATATTTTTTTATCTTTTAATCTTTCTTTTTCTTTTTTCTTTTTCTCTTTTTCTTTTTCTTTTCTGCTTTGATCTCTTTCCAATCTTTTTTTATCTTTTATCTCTTTCTTCACATTCTTTTTTCTGTTTGATTTTTTTGTCCTACAACAACCTACACTACTACTCCTTTCCTTTTTTTTCTAAAAAAAAAAAAAAACCACCACCACCACCGACCGAGAAATATTTTTTTTTCTGCTGTCCAACCCCTTCGAGAAACCTCCTCGGAAAACGAACAAAGAGGAAGCCGACCGCCGAAAGAAAAGGAGAGCCGAGTCAAGTCAACGATCAAAAGGGAAGAAAGGGAAAAAAAAAGGTGAGTGGGGCAAGCAAAGATATACGATGATCAGTAGATGTCGGAGAGGATTACAGAAAGAGAATCGGAATCGACGATAAGAAGATGAGAGTCGAGAGTCGAGAGTCGAAAAAAAAAAGGAAGATTGAAGAAATGAATACCAAACAAGAAAAAAAATGCAAAGGAAAAAAAAAGATGACTCACAAGGAATGAACCACCGCCCCCCGCTCAAAAAAAAAGAGAAGCTGGAATTACTGGAATATATGATGAGAAGGAAAAGATAATGTAATCGACTAGAAGGAGATGGATAAATAAAGACCGGAATGATATCATAGAAACGGGGTGGTGTAGGGGAAGAGAAGAAGAAGAAAAAAAAAACGGGTAAGGCGATAACGATAACAAGAAGAAAAAAGAGAACCCTCTGAATCGATCATACATGTATAGACACATCGAAAGATTAAGAAAAACGACTTACGTAGGATATATACACAATACCCCGCCAAGGAAAGATAGATAAAGTGGACATATAGTGTCGAATCTAAAGTCAAACAGATCATCACAGCAAAGAAAAAAAAAGAACCATCAGTGAACCCGAAATCCTCAAAAAAAAAAAAAAACTGAGAAAAGAAAAAAAAAAAGTTTGAGACTGACCGAAATAAAAATTCTCATAACCATACCATAAAAAACAAAGACAGAATATATATATATACAAAAAAAAATGAAAAATGAAAGAAAAGAACGAAAAGAAAACGTACGCTAGCTAATCCACCTTCACCTACACAACCCAAACACCACACCACACCACACCACAAAAAAAAAACACAAAAAAAAGTGGGAAAAAAGAGAAGAGGAAGAAGAAGAAGAAGCAAAAACTAAAAGAAACGACGATGCGGATTTCCGAGCAACAACCTAGCCACGAGTTCGTCGTCGTCTTCAGAATCCAACCCTTCCTCGACGGCCATCGAACAAGAATGAGAGCTGACGGAGGAATCCGCCAGCTGGGGTTGTTGATGAGAGCCATGGGGGTGGGCCGGCCGATGAGAAACCTGAGCTTCACCAGAAGGAGGATCCTGCGCCATCTCCTCCTCGACATCATCATCATCATCGAAGATTTCTCCTTCTTCGATCTCTTCGCCCGGCTCCAAAGACGACCGATTCCTGGGCTTAACAACGACCACCGGAGAAAGCGGCGGCGGAGCCAGTTGAGGATGATGATGAGACGGATTGGGGGTTAAAGGGAAGAGGCTGAGTGGGGCTCGATGGGCGGAAAAGATGAGTGGCCCGGGGGATGCGGGGAAGCAGGGCGAAGGCGGACGAGGGGGCAAGGGATGAGTGGGCGTGGGAAGCGGCTTATCGTCTTCTTCGTCTTCGTCTTCTTCTTCTTTTTCGGCCTCTAGGAATCCTCGACCTTGATCTTCTTGAATCTGTTCTACTCGAAACGGGTTATTTGTGTCGTCTGGAATCCGTTCTTCATGAGTCCGTTCGTCTGGAATCGCTTCCTCATGAATCTCTTCTCCGCACCCGCCTTCAAGTTCGTCTTCAAGTTGATGATGATGATCGAGGGAAAGAAGATGGTGATGATCCAACAACACGCTATCAAGTTCCTCGCTATCGACGCTACTAGGGTCCACTGCAGACTCATGCTCCTCCACATCCATCACTTCTTCCTCTTCGACATCCTTCTCCCCCTCCCCCTCTTCTTCTTCTTCTTCATCATCTTCATTATCTTCCTCAGAGGAAATCTCGACCGGTTCGGTGTGATCTTTCTTCGAAGAAGTGGGTTGCCCAACAGGAGACGTCCCTTGCTCCTCATCACTGGAGATGAACATCACAAAGTCTGAATTGTCAGCCATCTGATCGTATTTGATCCGCTTGACCGTCGGACTACCGACTTCGGTATTATGACTGATCCCTTTGAAAGTCCGTTGTTGATGATGGTGAGGATCAACTGGGGCTTTAGACGATGGGGCTTTACGTTTGCCTTTCGGATCATGAGTGCCGGTCAAGTCGGTGAAAAACAACCCGGCTGAGCCCGCCGTGTCTGGCGCCTCTTCGTCCGATGAACCGGCTTCATCATCGGCGGTCATCCGATGATCTTCATCCTCCTGATGACTAGTAGATTCCTCGAGGTTCTCGTTCTGGTGATGATTCCGATTGATCATATGACGTAAACGACAGCCGGGATTCGAGCAAGTACCTTTAGTACTAAACTCGGGGCATTCCCTCACATGACGTTCGGTACATTGAGCGCCCTTAGAACACCAGCCGAGATCGGCGAATTCCGGACAGATCTGGGAACTGGTCGGCTTCACATGTGGATACGGACAGTCCGCCTTATTGCATCGTGGGAAGTGCGAACAATGCTCCATGTTGTGCGGGTTCGGCTTGTGCGATAACGGGCATGAGGTGGCTGAATACGAACATTTCTTGCGCAGGTATCGCGAACAGATCGCTACCTGTAATGGATCGTGCTGATAAACACATGTCAGACCGTTTCGACATGCTCCTATTTAATTCATCGCTCCAATCCAATTAATCAAATTGAATGACATCATAAGAAAGAAAGGTAAAAAAAAACACATCATCAGAATTCATTGCGATCATGATCAGCGCATTTACTTGTTGGAGGGAGGAGTTTCAGTTGAGGAGTGTTTGGACATAGAAAGCTTAGAAAGATAGGAAGGGGGTGATAGAAGGAGAAAGAGAAGCTGAACCGGTCTTAGCAAAAAATCGACATTGTTCGTTCTTTTTAATCACAGGAGGTCGGGCCACTGTGGCTATAACTTTAGAATGACGTCTGTACAAAAAAGCCACAGAAAAAACGGTTAAAATTGAATGGTCTCATGAAGGAAGAAGAAGAGAGGAGGAAAAAAAACAAAGCTGCGTACAAAGGTTGAGGGCCGAGTTTCTTGTGACCCCAAGTATTATTAAGAGAGGAAGAAGGAGGAGGAGGATATGGCCGGGAGGCAGAAGAAGCGTATCGACTCTTCATCGCATTGACGGTCGCCAGGAGTTTAGCACGCTTGATTTCTTGGAGTCGTTGAGCCTGGAATTTCTTGAGTGCGGAGAGTTCGACGAGGTTACCAGACTTAGTACGAACATAGGTCATCCCGCCGATCAGCGCCTTGATCGGAGTAGCCTTCTGGACATTGAGGTCAGGAGCAGAGGTGGATGGCACTGGGGCCGGTTTCTCCGAGTGTTGGACCGGTTCAGGAACAAGTTCTGTGTGTGTGTGTGTTTTTTTTTCCAATGATACGATACAAGGGAGATAGATGAGCAAGAGAGAGCTCGGTAGATGGAGATGATGGAGAAAAAACTGACCGGTCTTTCGGACGAGTTTTTTGCCCTGGGTGTCACGGACGAAGGAGACGCCATCGATGACGAGTTCGTTGGACTTGATAGGAGTCGCAGAAGCGGGAGATCGAGTAAGTGGGGCGGCAGGATGATTAGGAGCCAGGCTCATGTTGCTGAGGTTCGTGGCAGTTTGAGCGACCGGAGAGGGGGTCATATTCTGTGCTGTTGGTGCGAGTGAGATGGGAGGGGTTTGGGTTGAATCATGGGCTACTAGGTTGTTAGTGGTGGTTGGTTGATTGGATGTGGGAGCAGAGGATGGTTTGAATGGTTGAGCAGAGACTGATAAGGTGGTGGTGATTGGAGCAGATGATGATGGGGTGATGTTGGTAGGAGTGGGTAGTTGGGATGTGGTTGGTTTGGGTTGGATGGTGGTGGTGGTGTTGGTGTTGGTGGGTGTGGGTCGATTGAGGATTAGTTTGGTCGATCGACCGGCTAGATGAGGTCTGATTAGATTACTAGCTTGTTGCCTGTTGGAGGCCAACTTCCAGGTTGTCTTTGTGACGTGGGGCAGGGCTGAGTTAACCCTTGAGTAGTAGTTCGATGGTGGTGGTTGGTTTGCTGCTGAAGAAGTGGTTGGGTTGTTGTTGTTGTTGTTGTTGTTTGAGCCCTGTTGTAAGTTCTTCTTGCATTCGTCGATGGTGCCTGTGTGAGTAAGATGTGTTAGTGTGAGTGATGGTGATGGTGTTTATGCAGGGTGTGTGGTTCTTACCCTGTAGTCTGGCCATCTGAGCGAGTACTGATTGGTGTTCGGTTGTCATTCTGTTTTTTTGTTGTTTTTGGTTTGTTTTTTGTTTTTTTGGGGGAGAGTACTTGAAGGGGAAGGGCAAGAACTGTGGAAGACGGAAGCCCGCCGAGACAAGAGTCAGCAATCAAAACTCACTACAAGCATATCCAAACAGGAACAGCATCTTATAAGCATCAGCCCACATGATCACCAACACCAAACAAAATCAACGAATCCGAACAGCCTGCTGGAACTCCTATGTGCCCCGGATAACCAGATCATAACTTGGACACCCCTTGACCCCATTGAGCTACATCATTCAAAATTCCAACAAACAAACAAAAAACAACTCACCAATCTAAGGATATAATTACTGACTGCAGACTCATATGTATCATTGACACTGTGGTTGAATATTGCTGGCTCGTCTCTATTAAATCAAGCTCACAGGAGAACTTAAAACTGGGGAAGAGAATTAACAAAAACTGTGCAATAAAAAAGAGCAGAACTTGATGCAAATAAGACTTATACATAAATTGTTCAGCTTTTCTTTTGCCTCTGGATTTCAGACCACACACAGGGTACGCATATATATATGCTTTAATTACTTTAATGCAACACAGTGGGGGAAAATTCCCTCACTCTTCTCACATTCAGAGTTTGAGTGGATTTTCCTGAGCTTGTATCTCTACAAAAAAGATTTGGTCATGGGTCCACAAGGACCTTGATGAGACCATGTTGAGGGATGCTAGAGGGTGCATCATGTAGAGAACTCACTCCACAAAAAGAATATGTTCTGTCCCACACTTCCCTGTTGATTCTAACTTGATTTTGGACTTAAATGGAAAACTTTCCAGGAGCCAAAAAGGGCCTCGAAGAACACAAATTGCCTTGGAAGTGACAGATTCATCAAATATAATCTGCTGGTGTAGGATCCTTTTCTGATTCCAAACAAATCCAGAGATGGACTTTGGGAAAGTTGAGATATCCAGATTGGGGCTGGGCCCTATCAGCAGGGTTCATGGGTATACCCAACTACTCAACCAATGGGTCAGAGCATGGGGGGCTTTTTGGGCTTAGGAGGTGTGTTGGGCTGGACTTTAAACCCTTGTTCCCTGAAATTTTGGCAGATGATCAACTGGTATACCCAGCACCTACTTGAACCAATTAAGGGTCTGGGTTTAGTTTGTATACCTCAAGAGGCTTGGGTAGGTTGAGCCCTAATCCAGATGGATGAAAATTAGGTACCAAGGGTGATTTTTGACTGTTAGCTATTTGTATTGCTAGATAGATGTTAAATTGTCTATTGGACAACTTCCCGTCAATATCTGCAAGTCTTGTGAAAGCAATTTAGAGCCTTGAAAGCTAGATTTCTCAGCAAAATTCTAGACTTCTTGGGTCTAAACCAACATCTTTGAGGGACCCAGATCCAACAGGAAGTCCTCCATTCTTCTGTAGAGACAGCCTTGCAGTACCTGGTGTGTATTTTTGGCTAAAAAAACTGACTGGTACCTGGGTACCCTCACAGGTACCGCTTCAAGTCCCCCTCCTCTATAGCCACTCAGTAACTGGTTAGTACCTATACAGCTCCAGGCCACATGATTGGATATCAGCAAGTACTTCTGGTACCCAAAAGACAATGGCAGGTGTGGTACCTGGTGCTGTCTTTGGCTAAAAAAAGCAACTGGTACCCAGGTCCCACAGGGCCATCTGTATTGTTCTGCTAGGAAAACTCCCCAGCTACAATAGCTACATTAGGAAACTCATTCTATATCCAGTAATAATATCAAGTCATCTTGTAACACAGGGCAGTCACAATATTATGATACCTTGGTCATTTTAAAGTATTTTCCCCGTGCTGCCTAAGCTTCACATGCCAATGGTAGTAAGCAAGGGAAAAAGTGGCTTGAACTTCTCAATTTGAAGCCTCCAGTCTTCTATTTAGAACATAAGAATAAAATGTAGTGATCAAATCCTTCAGAAAGCTGCTGTCAGAATTGTGCATGGTCAGCTTATTTTTGAAAATTATGCTTCATTTTCTTTGTTTTGTCTTCTTTTGTGCGTGTTTTATTTGTGAGAATTCCCCCTCTCTTAGAGTATGTCTTCCATTGTAAAATGTTCAATCCAATCCAGCTAGTGCTTGTGGTCAGTTTTATCAGCTTCTTAAGTGTCATCCTTGTGGGAGGTTGGGGCTGACTGTTTGTAGTGCTTGATGTTGTGGGGGGTACGTTTAGTCTGGGGTGTATTCCCATCGGATCAACGGTCATCCACAGATGGCGGCTTGTTCGGTCCCTCGGTCGGATCCGTGACGCGGTCCGTCACAACGAAGAGCTGCAGGATCCGTGTTGCCATAGCCGGGTGGGCAGCTCAGGCGGTTCTCCATAAAGCTGTTTCTCACTTGTAAGTAAGTATGTAATGTGTATGGACAAGCATTTCTTCACTTGATTGATGCTCTAACCTGAACTATTCAACAAATTTCCTCGAGCAGCTCACCCAAATGGCGGATAACTCAGATGGACCATCCAACGCACAGAACCTGTACTCAGAGGAAGACGAAACGCCTCATACTACGACGAATATAGGAGCTAGCAAAGTTCTCGATGGCCCTACGAGAGCCTCCTCGACCTCCAGTTTATCCGAGGCACAAGATCCCGATGCGGATGCCGAAGGGGAGCCAGATGACCTGGATGCGGATGCAGATGGAATCGAGGATGATGACGCGATGGACTACAGCTATGAACAGCAGGATATCGATGGAGCTCGTATAGATGATGGTGACGAGTCTGCTGGACAGGAAGAAGAAGATGAGGAGGAGGACGGCGAGGATGAGGATGAGGAGGAAGAAGAAGGGGAAGACGACAGTGGTGAAGAAATGGATCTAGACGAAAACGCATCCTCTCCACCTCCTTCACCTCCCTCACGACTCTCGGATCAAGCTCATCAAAATGGCTCCGAGTCAAACAAGAAACCTCTCAAACTCAAACTTAAACTTGCAACTCAGCCCGCCGCTTCCCGTCCGCCTGCCAAGCGTAAATATGTCAGAAAGGCTCCTCTTGTTTCCAAATCCCCCTCCGCTCGTTCTCGTTCGACCAATGATAAGAAAGCCAACTCGTCCAATAAACGTCGAAGTACTGGTTCCGGTTCGTTTTTTTTTAAAAAAATTGCAGACAAAAATGAAAAATTGTACCCAAGAGCTAAAACGGAAAAAATGCTTGGAAAAAATTGCGAGTTTTAGATGAAGAAGATGACGAGCTTGCGGAAGATTCACTCGGATACAGTGATGGTGATGACGATCGAGCGGGTAATCAACCAGGCCCGTATCAAGCATCGAATGGATCAGAGGGAGCTTCAACAGGCGACGACACGATGCCAACCGCTGGCCAGCTCACCGTCCGACAACGTGCCAAAGAGTATGGGGAACCAGTTACCGAACTTCAATCACTACCTATGAGTGAGCATCACTTGTTTTTACTTTCTTAGAGTCCTGGCCTCATGAATCCATTTACCACTGATTAACTCGCTAACAATGGACCCATCAACCTTTTGGTAATTCAAGCTGACAGCAAGAAGAAGAAAGAACTTACTGAAGCTGATCGGGCTATGGAAAAGGCTGAAAAGTCCCGCAAGAGGAAACATCAAAACGAAAAGAAATTGGAGGATGAAGTTGCGTTCTCATCTAATCTCATCAACCGTCATTTCCACATGACTAAACTAGAAACTTGTTTGCATTAATGAATGAATAGAAAACCGAAACGATCAATCGGCTGTTGAAGGGACAGGTTGGTAAAGCCAAAGGATCCACCAAAACCGCTGGTCGGCCGATTGACACCACGGAAGAGAATACGAACCAAGTTGTCAAAGCACCGGCTGTGCCAGTATTGCCCACGATGATTCGCAGGGTCTCAAGTATTCGCTCCGGCGAGTACATAGCCAGCCTCAATATCCCTTCATCTATCTTGAAAGAACACGAGGATCACTTCTTACTCAGCCCGTCTTCAAAAGTCGTTTATCCTCCTCCGGTCAGGCCTCCCCCAAAAACCTGGAAACTCGTCAACGGCGTCCGAGTGAACTAGTCGACCAACCATCAGCTAAATTGGAATGTGCTTTTTCCCGTTATATTTGAAAAAACAAAGAAGAATTGGTTGTATCATCAACATTACATTAAACCTGTTTTTTTTTCCTTCCTGCATGATCTAAAGCTTGATTTTTCTTTTATACATTCCTCCGCGATCTCAAATAATTCTTGTAGGAATAAAGTGTTCCTTTTGTCGAACCAGTAATCCTTTTGCCTGTGTGTATATCCAACTCAAGAAGGAATACTCATTTTGAAAACACATTCCCATTGAGATGCCTCTGATCAGCTTTCAAAGGGCAAAGTTGGATCTAGTTTCATTGTAGAGGTATGTACCTTGTGTGTTAGTCCACATGACTCTACAAACTCCCATGAGTAGAGGAGAAATTGGATTGTTACTTTACACAACTGTGGGTGTGCCAACCCTGCAGATGGTTGATAGCAATAACCATGAGAGCTGGAAAAAAGCCAATACAGGCTGTTTTTGGTCAATACAGCCTGTAGTGCATTGTAAAACATTCAAACATATCAAAATTTCAATACTTTTTTGATAAAAATAACAAAAGTAAAAATAAAAAGAAAGTTGGCCAATATCTTACATATACAGGCCTGCATACTGTAATGTGAACTATTAAGTCCGCACTTGCCTTGCAGTGAGTGGAGGGTCAACCCACTGCATTAAGGCAAGTGCAGACTGGGAGAAATGTGGATGAGTCTCTGATTGGAAAACACATATATAAAGGCAACACCTCATCAATTTGTCAGTTTAATTGGGTGATACAACGGATCTAGGGCCTTGGTTGATCAACTCCCAAATTTGAAAAGCCGTTGGGAGGACCGCCTGGGGACAGTCCCAGGATGTCCCCAGCCCCAAAAACTGGGCTTCCCTATAAGCCAACCATGGGCCACTACACTATGCTACACTGAAAGGCCCACTAATGTTAGTGTAGCAGCTCTTGAAACAGCATACCAAACCTGTAGTGTTAGTGTCACTATGCTGCCCTACAGCGCTTTTAGTGGAAAAGAACAGCCCAAAACCTGCTACACCATGTTGTAGTGCAGTGTAGTGGACCCTTTTTTGAAGCCCACGCACGTAGCATTAGCGCAGTCATGGTGTAATTCTTCTGTGCTAGGCCAGAATTTTGCTACATTAGGCTGTGATAATGCTAGTGTTAGCATGGTGGGCACACTGTTGTCTAAGCCTTGGGAGTTGTTCCTCCCATTCATTCTGGCAGTAGGAACAGGAGTCAATTGTCCCATATGAAAAAATAAGTAAATCATGCTGGGGAATGCACTCCTGGCTGTCAAGATTTGGACACGCTTAGCAGCCACAGGGAATCCTCCTGACCGTTAAGGTTTGTCCCCCCCCACCAGCCTATACACCTTGACAACTGGGAGTTATCCCTTTTGGCCACTGAGAGTGTACAACTCTCAACCAGCAAGAGAATCCTCCTGGCCGCTGAGAGTTCCCAAAAAGTTTAGGGGGCTGGCTGCCCTGACAGTCCCACCAACATCCTTATCCTCAAACGTTGGGAGTCAAAACTCCAATCTAATTAGGCAGTTGGTTAACCAAGCCCCTATGTGTATGTATGTATGTCCTGAAGGTGGATGTCTGTTCTCATCTTTCCATTTTCAGAAGGCTGAAACACAAATGTATTTCAAGGATTTCAAAATACATCCTGTTGATTTTGGATTTCTTTTTCAAAAAACACAGAGATCAGTAATGCAAATGGAACACAGTTCAGTATTTCCAGGTTTGAAAAGTGTGGGCCAATAGGTGCCCCCTGTGGGCTTCCATAGACTGACAATGATGATGATTTCAATACATATGGCCCAATCCACATCCCAAAAACATTTTTAGGAAAGAGGGGTTATTGCAACTAACACTAGAGAAATAGCAGTTCTTGTGCATAGAAGTACTAGGCTCTTGCAATGCTCCCTGAACATAGCAGAATTTTATGTAGCCTTTGAATTAGGAAGCAATGAGTAAGCAAAAGTTGGATAAGAAATCAACAATGAGCTATTTGCCAGGAATGGAGACCCCAGAGCCAATTAATCAATGGATTAGAATGTATATATTAATTAACTAGTAGAAGGATAATCATCCTCAACGCCCATGAAGTTAAAGTATGGAGGGGGTTGTTTGGGAGTACGATCAGGGGGGACGAAGACCTCCTTATTATCATGGTGGCATTCGCCGCGGTTATTGAAGGTCTTTGGGACATTAGCGCGAGTCCATTCCTTACACGGTGTACAATAGAAGAACAATTTCTCTCGGTTGGCTTGACAGATGAGATGGTTTCCCAAGTCTTTTCCGCAAGGCGCGATGGAGTCCTTCTCGATCTGACCGGGGAAGGTGGCCGGCTTGGCGGTCAAGAGGAAGCATCGGGCACATTGGAACCCGTCGTTGGCCGAAGAGATGGCCGTATACAGTACTGTTAGTCCCACAGCCCAGCCGATCGTGGCCAGTTTCATTTTTTGGAAGGTGAGTCTTCGGAGCCGGCGGATAAGTTAGCTGGCTGCGAGTGGGATTTGAACTTGCGCGTTGATCGATGTAACGTGGGATGTGATGCAGTCGGTTGGGGGAGGGGGAGGTGAAGCGGAAGTGTCTTTCGCTGACCGTTGTCCTATTTCAGGATAGCCAATCCTCCGACTTGTCTCGCTAGGTTGCGCTGCGTATCCCATTGTATGGCCAGCCGATGGTGGCAGAGGGCAATGCTTCAGACCCATCTGCATCATCATCAACCCCAGAAGGAACATTACTGAGACTTGCATATCAAGGAAAACATGTTTCGTTGAGAGCATCGGTGGGCTCCGAGGAGATCGCAGTACAGCACAACCTCTGAATGCGCGACCTCCTCAGAGGGACTTGCGTTTTGTGTTGAGTTCGGGCTGTTGTGCATTCACGGCACCCGCTCAATATGGATTCAAGCCCTCCCGGATGCTGATCTTCCCAAATCCTTATCCTGATAAAGGGCTGGGCACCTTGAATTGTATTCCACTTCAAGGTGCAAGTAATTATTAGCAGGCACAAGAAAACCATTTTTGTCCCCAATGGATACATTTTCTATCATCTACACAAAAATTGGGAACAACTGGAGGGATCTGTTGTTGAAATCCTTCACTTGCAGGTCAAAGACTGGCTTTTGGTTATGGTCACTTCTGATGATGTGTGAAATTTTGAGCAAGGTGAATTTTGAAAAATTGAATTTTCATGTCATACAGTACTAGTTAGGATCGTTGGATCTTGTGCAGTAGGGCATCATTTCTTCAAGAGAAAACAAGAGGATCACTTCCAGTGTTGCTCTAATTAATTTGATCCTGATTTTTGCATCAGAGTTTATATCCATCCTTTTTGTTTTTCTCTTTTCTGGTTGATCAACATCACTTGAATCCTGGAATCGAGTGTTCTGACCAAAATGAGCATCACTCTTTGTTTGAGACTCTGTTGAAAAACTAGATCCCAATTAGAAGTTTATATACCTCTCAATTTGAAAAAGGAGCAGAACAGTAAAAATGTCTATCATTTGTGGGTGTTGTGAGATGCAAGAGTAGAATTGTTCTAAACAAACATGTTGATGATATCATAAAGCCTTGCTAAGGGGGAAGAAAAGAAAAAAAAAGTCCTTCTAGGCATCGTGCCGTTCAAGCAGAAGAGAACAAGTGGTTATTTGAAATGCCATCCAAGGTCATCTGCGGCTCCAGCGGCGCCGTCTTGGATCCAATCCCACCCTTTCTTAAAGGACCATGGTGCTGGGGCGGCTTCCGATTTGTCGACTGAACAAAGGCAGAATATAACGCATTTATGATGATTAATTAACAGATTGGTTCTGAATAATGAGTGTTGAAGGATCGGCGATAGTTATATGAGATAGGCAAGGCAAGAGAAGAGAAGTTCTTGGGCTTACCAAGCGCAAGAAAGCCCACCACAGTGAGTAAAACGTAGAACATTTGAATCTTGATCATCTTGTCGGCTTTGTATGTTATAGGTCCTGGATAAAAACAAAACATGCAGGGATCTGTAGGTCAATCAGAGTGCTAATTGCTTGACAGGACAACAGGGAGCAGGGCCGATTACATACCAGCTGCTGAAGAGCCACGCGAAGAAGAAAGTTATAAGCTCCAGCTATATGTTATTGGCGGAGCTGCGTAATGGACTCCAATCGCCTTGATTATAATTGGCTAGAGGAAGGAAGGAAGCAAAAAAAGGTATGTACAGGAAGAAGATGTTGATTGATATTTACTTAACGGGCCGGCGGTAAAGCAAGAGAAGTATACGTGAGAGGTATGTAAACGGGTTATCGGGACTCACCCAATCGGGATCGGCTTTTGAGTTGAAAATTTTGTGCCTGCCTCATGAGATCAAGCTTGAGCCACCCACCCTCCCAACTTGCGCTCTCTCTCTCTCTCGAGAACCGAAGCTTGCGACCACGCCAAGCAATTCAACTAAGCCACGGGTGTAGTCGTTGTTATCTACATATCCATCCCACTGCCATTCGGGTAAACCTCCTGCCCCGACAAGTGCTCCTCTTCAGCCTTCCAGACTTGCTGACCAGACTACCGATCATCGTCCAAGATACAACATACATACATGCAACAAAACATGGGAGACATTTTCTATTACTAAGCAAAAACTTCTTCTGATAGGGGGGCAAGATTTCTCCGAAGGTCTTGGCAACCCCAGCTGGCCGCCATTCCTTCAAGACGGAGATTACTTAAAGACTATGTAGATATATATCACCCGTAGTTTTCATCCGCAAGCCCACAGACATTCATCGGCACGCCAACGCGGACACAGCAGCTCAAATTCGCCAACTCAGACAGACATGGGGCGGTGGGGTCACGCCCGACGCCGTGGAACGTCGTGGCACGACATGCTGACCTGCAGTCATGGGGACGTACGTGGAGGCGTCTCAACAAGAGGTTCCAAAAACAGGAAGTGGTGCAGGACATGGGGGGAGTGATAACCACCCCCCCCCCCCCCCCCTTCGCGCACGCACTCCCGCACTCCCCTCAGAAGTTGGCGTTCGGGTCCGCAGGCCGATTTTGATTGGCCGGTGGTATGATCTGACCAATCCAGCGAGGAACCAATCCCCTCGGCCCACATCGATATCAACAAATACACATTTCGGGGCGAGCTTTGAGGGGACGGCTTTTATCGGCCAAGACCCAGACGATGAGGGGCAGGGGATTGGATAACCCTGGTAGGCCCCCAGAGTCTCTCCTGTCTGTCCATGTATGCACACAGACTAAAATATGCTCACAAAATGTAAACTTCAAGAAGAAAAAAAAAATCAAATGAACAAATATATATATCTTTATATTTCTATATTGCATTAGTCAGCAAACCGAGAGACAAAGAGAGAGAGAGAGACAGAGAGGAAGAGAAAGAGAGGAAGGGACAGGTGAAAACAGGTTAGAGAACATCAAAGAGCGGACCCAAAATCCATAGAGAACCACCACATCTAAACCATCTTCTGTTTTGTTTTGTGTTGGATTCTTATATATATTTTTTCGCTTACTGAGGGGGCTAGAGAGACTTGAAGATATATATATATATATATATATATATATATATATGTATGAATAAATACATACATATATATATATTAAGAACTGACCGACGTAAGACTAAAAATATATATTTATATCTACGAACAGGAACCGGAATAGGGGAGGGAGGGATTAGGGGAAGAGAGACAAAAAAGGAAGGAAGGGAATTTAATAGCGACGATCATAGTCACGATCGTCTCTTCGAGGACGATCATAATCACGACGATCGTCGTACCGATCGCGTTCGGCCCTCATGGGAGCGGCATAGCCGTATCGATCATCCCGGCCAGGCGGGGGGCCGCGATCATCATAACGACGTTCACGTCGTTCGGGGTATCCCCCATAACGGTCCTCGGCTCGGTATCCTCCTCCGCCGCCGCCTCCGCCGCCGTAACCTCCTCCTCCTCCTCGCGGATCATATCGACGCTCGTCTCTTTTCGCAGGCCCAAAGTATTGTCCAGCTACATTGACATTGATTATTTGAAAAGAAAAGTAAGTCAGATTCTTGTAAATCGAGTAAACAGATTTTATACAGGAGAGGGATTGAGATGGGGGGGGGCACATACGAGTAGGCGTGCGCGCCCGACCTCGACGGGCTTTTTCTACTCCTAATGGTTTTCCAAATAAATCAGCACCATTAAGTGCGGTCATCGCTGCATCCGCTTCTTCGCAAGTCTCCATCGTCACAAATCCAAATCCTCTGACTTCCTTAGTGTTTGGGTCTCTCATCAATTGCGCTTTTTGTACCTATCAAAAAAAAAATCCAAAATCAGAAAAATATTTTCTTTCACCCGCTTGATGATCATCTAAGAATTTTTGGGGCCAGGAATAAGGAGGCTGAGCTTACTCGACCATATTTGGAGAATAATTCATACAAGTCTGCGTCTTCAGCTCTAGTACTAATCCCAGATACGTGGAGGTTGTTCCCAGGGTTATGATCGCCATTGGAGGGGCTAAAAGAGAGGGTGTGATAAGTTTTGTTTTTAAAGGAACGGGAGCGATAGATGATCGGGAGTCGAGAGGACAATCCGACGAGGGGAAAAAGACTGACCGACCACGACCGAGCGGTTTATCCGAGTCGATTTTCATCGGACTACGACTACGATCTCTTCGCGCATTACTATTGTTCGAAGGCGGGAGATTATTGACCGGACTGGGCGATCGACGACGGGAGGAAGCAGGAGGGTCGGGTTGACGAGGGTGCTCGGCAAGAGTCGGACCGTCTGCCCAATCTGTGTGGTTGAAGAATGCGAAAGTAGAGGACGGATGAAGGTGGTTAAGAAGAAGTGCCCATAATCGAACATCATTAGGGGCTTGAATGTTAATCCGAAGAAGAGATGATGATGATAATGGAGGACGCGACTGAAGGCGAAAATATTTCAAGATGTGTGTGTGATGATGATGATGATGAACTGAGACTGAGGTCTGGGTCTGATTTTTAGGTGAGATGTGCAGTTATTAATGTGAGGTGAGTGGGAGTAGCTGGAAGCGAGAGAGATCAGGCGTGATGATGATTGGTTTAACAAGGCCTCTCGAAGAGCTGGAATTTGGTGTTGTTGTTAATGATTCTACTGAGGATAAGAAGAAGGGAATACAAGGCTAGACATAAGTAAGAACGAAGTTCTCGTTTTCATTTTCATTTTTCAAAACACAAATACATAGCAAACACGTCTTTTTTAAAAAAGCGTTGTTGATCATGAGGAAGGAGTGATGCAAATTTCAAGACAGGAGAGTTTTGTGGAGGATATGGACCTCGGTTCTTCTTCTGAAGAAGTAGTTCAAGCGATTTGGAGGTCTGCAGGTTCAGCCAATCTGTAGGAAACGATCGATTGAAGTTGAAAGCTGGGAAGGAAGACTGCTGCTGCTGCTGGGGGGTTTTCTTGTTTTGATTTGTTCTGCCCAGCTGGTAGGGGCAAGTTGGAAAGCGAATGTGGGATTGGAGGATTGGAGGATAGGATTCAAGAAAGAGAGAATACACACCCTGATCAGCACCACCAGGCATGATTAGAAGATGGGAGTGAGTTAAACGATCAAGTTGAACTCGGAACTGCTGTTTTCGATTTGTGGATTTGAAGACGATGAAGTTGGGAGTTGGGAGTTGGGAGTTGGGAGTTGAATGGAAAGGAAGAACAGGGGAGGGAGGGGGAGTGCACTTTAAGCCTGCGATCAGAGTATAGAGGGGGTCACCACGCGATCGTGGCACAGGGAGACCCCCTCTCCCCTCGCAAACATACAAGCATATTATATAACTTAACTTAACTTATCTCCTCAACCTACATAGCTGGGGATGACCCTCCGAAGAAGTTTGCAAATCAAAAAACACTCAACTTTCGATTGGACCTTGCCCTGACACTTGAGTATGGATATCAGCTTCCTGGTGATCAAGATCGATGATGGTTACGCATAAACACACATAGGACAATCAAACAGTCTATCACTGATGAACGAATAATTTGAACACATACATATGACGCAAAGTGAACTGAAGAGACCTCTTGAACTTAATAAATCTGCCGTTAAAGTGGGGTTGAGGTGCATAAACCTTCTCATACGAGAGTAGGACAAAAACAAATAATCAGAAAAATGATACTTTTACAACAACAACAAAACAGCCTAACAAATGTGGAGACAGAGGATGTTTCTGATGATAGTTCTTGTTGGAATGTATTTTGGACAACAAGTACTATGAAATATGCATGTAGAATTGAAGCTCTATCTATTTACAAAATTCAATATCTCAAGACATGGTAGGAAAAAAAGAAATTTTCAGAGAAAGTGTGATATCCTTTTTTTTTGGGGGGGGGGGGGGTTAATGTTTTATGTGAATGTTTTTTATTTGTTTTTTGGTGTATTGAAAGAGAAACAAAACGTAATTATAAAATAAAACATCATGAAAAGAAATGAAGAAAGAGAGAGAGAGGGGGGAGGGAAACTTTAAACATTGAGGAATCATAAGGATGATAAAAGAAAAAAAAGTGTATTTATTTATTTCTTTCTTTTGATTGGTGTAACAAGATCAACCAAAGAAGAAGGTAATGTATGAAGAGAATCAAATTAAAAGCACACGCAAAAAAAAACAGAAGAGAGACATGAAAAAGGATAGGTCATTGAAGAGTCAAAAAAAGGGATGCATGAGTCAAATATAAATATAGGAAGGAAGAAAAAAAGAAAGAAGATGTACAACAAAACGACGCTAGGGGGCAAAGCGAGGCAAAAATGGATGAGGAGGGTTAGAGAAAGGGGGGGGGGGGGGGGTTAAGAGGACAAGTGCTCCTTAACATGCACAGGGGCCGTCTTGAGTTTCGGCTTGATTGAGACTGACGCCCGCGCCGGATGTTCGGGCTCCTGAAGCGGATCCTCGGGGGCCGCGAGAAGCAGCCGAATCTAATGGAAGCTTCTTGGCTATTCATACACCATCAGATGTTCATGCGAATCAGTATCCAGATATATATTCACTTGATCAAGGAGGGATAGTTCTGCTCATCGGATTCGAAACCTCACCTATCGCCGTAAATATGTCAGTCACATTCGTCGAATCTTTGGCCGAAGTTTCAAAGAATAACAAGTTTTCTTCTTCTGCAAACCGTTGTGCTTCCTATAAAAAAAGAAGGATTCAAAAATGTGATGTTAGAGGCTTTGGTTTGCGAGGGGAAAAACAAAGATAAAAGCCATTTGCAGGTGGCGAGGGATTTTTGGAGAGGAGGACAGGACGAACTTCAGTGGGGACTTGGCGTCTCTCTTCTAGGTCGGCTTTGTTCCCAGCAAGAGCGATAACGATCTGGGCGTCTGCTTGTTTCTGTAGCTCTCGAATCCAGACCTTAGCTTTCTCCAATGAAGCCTATGTAAAAAAAATAGATGAATTGTGAGCATCCAAAGAAGGAAGAAATCAAAACCCCAACTGAAAGAATGAAGGACTTACACTAGATGTTATGTCGTAGACGACTACCGCACAATTCGCATTTCGGTAGTCTGTTAATCATCCGCTTTTGTCAGTTCAAAGTTTCGACTCGATGGTGGTAACAATAAAAGGAGTTATCTCGCTGTGCTCTGGGGGATAGCTTGTTTCTTTGGGATGGACAGACTTTGGGTGCATTACTTACACATAGGAGCTAATGACTTGTAACGTTCCTGACCAGCTGTATCCCAGATCTGCATTGACAAATGGGGGCTTTTTATCAATATAAATCTGCTCAACGGTTTCCTTCTCTTTTTTTTTGGTAACTGAGAACCAGGATAATGGGAAATTTGGAGGGATTTGATAAGACAGCTGACCTCGAATTTGATTGTTGTTTGCTCATTAATCTTAACAGTTTGAGTCAAGAAAGCCGCCCCGATTGTGCTTTCACGATCTGATGATATCCCCCGGGAATTTTACGACGAAATGTTAACGGCAGATCAAAATAAGCGGGGAGAAGATGAGGGAGCCGGGGAAAATAAGTGAGATAGTTATAATTTTAGTCGTACATTCTTGGAAATCGTTCTGGACGAATCTGAGCACTAAAGATGACTTTCCAACGGCCGATTCTCCCAACAGAACCACTTGATTGTTTTCGTTTTATTGGTGTCCATCAAGAAAGGCAAAAAAGGGAACGAATGTTAGTTGGTTTGATTGAATGACGGTATTTGAAGTTTTTTGTCGAGAAGGAGGAGAGCGATTGGATGGAGAGGATGTTTTGCTTGGTTGAGGATGATAGGAGAAGAGACGTACGTTTGAATTGATAGTTTGGACGGGTTGAGTTGGGTCTTGGGTTGTTTGACATGCTGATAGTAGGGAAATCGATCTCCTGAATTTGTTTGTTTGTTGGTTTGTTTGTTTGTTCGTTTGTTCGTTCGTTTGTTGGATTCTTGTACTCTGAGGTCGATGGTTGATATTGTGTTGTAGTTGGGTTTTTTGTTGTTTCGATGGACAAGAATGGCAAGTTGCTTCCGACGGACAACTGGACAAGGCAGTGTTGAGTCTTTCAGCTTGGCCGGACAGCTTGTCGGAGCGGTTCATTGGAAATTTGACTAGCTTATATAATCATCATCATCTGTTGTCCACTTGACGTCATGACCTATTTCATAAAGCTTCATACTGCCGAGGGTGTCCTTCAACCAATCACAGACACCTCTATCTCCGTTCAACAATGGAGGACTTCCCGTCGCGGTTTAGAGTGCTTTTTAGACCTTTCTCAGTCTTAAATTAAGAACACAACAAACATTTCAACCAGCTCATGTGAGAGCTATTACCAGAAGGCTTTAGGAAAAAAGTTTTTTTTGATAAAAAATTTAGATCTAAGGGGTGTAAATCGACTTCTGGGAGGGTCGTAGATTGCGACGGGAAATCATCCAATACCTGGGTTCACAATAATTTTGTGAGGAAGATATTTAAGAGCCTAGCCCGGTATTTGTGAGCACAAGATGGGAGGCTTGAATTTTGGCTAAAATTAAGCTATGTAAATAGTTGTTCAAAGGATCCAGGAAAAATTCTCTGCAAAGTGTTAGTGTTAATTTGCGCTCAGCAACCCTTGGAGGTTCCTGAGTCAGAATTCCAAGCCTAAATTAAGACTAAAATTAAGCTCAGAATTTTCTGATCCCGGAAAAATATGTATAAGCTGGGTTCAGGAAATAAAAGGCTTATCATGAACCCCACTAATTTGAGTAGGAACTGTTGGAACATTAACAAAAGCAACAACTGGAACCACTCAAATAGAGGTGTGGGTGTGGCCATGGTCCAAAAGTCATTGACAGAGTTTTCTCTTTTTTTGTCATTGGGTAAAGAGATCAGAGTCCAAAAATGAGAAATAGTGAAAAATCAATCAAACAAGATGCTCTGATGCGCATAGATACCATAAGAAAAGGCTAGTCATGAAACATACAACAGTCACTTGCTTGAATTGGAGATGTAGACCAGATGTTGATCTGCTTCATTGATCATCTGAGACTGAATAGCAGGGTTCACAATAGTGTTTTTTTTTCCTTCTCACACCAGTTCATTTTTTTCTTGCTCGCGCACTGCTGATGTTAATTTTGTCAGCAAAAATTCAAAATCCCGTGCTAAAGTTTATGCCTGACACAGTGCTGCAGCTTCTCATGAGAACCCAGAGAGCTTTGCGTGAGAAGCTATTGTGAACCCTGCTAATGTCTCCGGGAATTGAAACGTCCCACATGATAGTCGTGTTGAGTAAGATTGACCCAAGCACCCATACTCTGAAATGAAATGGATGATTTTGGAAATGGCTCAATCTACAATCAATCACCTTGTGGTTGAACCTTACCCTACTCACTGGGGAGGAGTACTCCCCGGTCATTACTTTAACATGCCTGCTCACCAAGGAGAGGGTCTGCCGGGTGAATGGGTACACCTTGTAACTGCTTGCTGAGATGTCCAGCGCGGATTTCTCCTCAGGCATCAATTTGTACTTGCTCTCCAAGAGGGGATCCCATCGATAAATTGGGTACATATGCTTTGTCCCATTTGCTTGAGAGAAAGCTCCCTTGTTGAACCTGAACAAGACCAAGGAGGAATCTCACCCACAAGGCAAGGAAGCCCCCTCACAAGCAAGCAGACACTGCTCCCTTGGGCCCTTGGGAGGGAGCTTGCTTGTCTAGCAGATAAAAGCCGCTTGCCAAGGTGTAATCTAGCCCAGCAAGCGGGTTCTTGTACCAACTCATCACCTCCAAGGTACCCCCACCCACCGGCCAAGTGGCCAAGTTGGCAAGTCCTGACAAGCCCAAATGGGTAGTATGCACATATTACATAAGTTTTTTTTTGTTGTTGTTATCATGGTCCCAATGGATTATCATGGGGGAAGATTTATTCTTGTGTTCTAAGACCTTACCACATTCTCTAAGAAATGATTTAATCAAGCTAACCTGTTGGTCTTCAAATTTTCCTTTCAGCCAGTAATGTAATGGTGAAGTTTTTGTGTGTAATGAATGGATAAAGTAATGCATTGTCAGATTATCCAGAGGTTAAGAAACCCTTAACACATTTTAAGTGGAAAAAAGCCTCTCTTTTTGAGTTTTGGGCCTTGGCAGCAACACATGCCATGAATTTCCAAAAATTATCACACGTCTTACTAATATTTATGGATTTTTTTAAAATCTACAATTTGTTGATAGTGTAATGAGCATGAAAAAAAATTCAAAGGCAAAATGGATAATGTAATGTGCAAACAATTTCCAAAAATTATGGGGAAAGTAATGATAATGAGTGGAAACTCACTACTTTATCTTTACACTACCATTACAGGTAATGTAACTACCCAGTGTTTCAGTGCTACTCTGTGCTAATGCACTGATTAGCAGCATTTGGCCCTGTAGTGCCTGTTAGAGGTCTGTAGCGCAGCGCAGCATAGCAAAAACCCACCAAATTTTTGACAACAATTACATGATTTCTGTGCAAAAAAAATGCTATGCTGATGCTTTTTTGGCAAAAAAATGTAGCAGCCCATTATTGCCCTTAGCCAAGAATCATGAGCTTGAACTTCTGAATTTCTGATGATTTTCACATTTGCTTGAATTTGCCCACTAAGAGAAACCACATTGGTGTGGGTGTAACTTCAGGAGTAGTGGAGTAACTTACTCCCAGATTAGTGCTACTCCGAGTTGTCAATTGCATTGGTGTGGTGCAAACCTGCGAGTAGCCGGGGTTGTGCGTGTGTTGAGGGTTTGGATTGGCTCTTAATCCCAGGATTAGCAAGAAGTAAATTTACTCCTGCTTAGCTCAAATCCTACTCCGGATTAGGTTAGTCCAATTAACTTGGACCAAATGTGGTTGAGGGCTCTGACTAGCTCGGAGTAGTTACACTAATTTGACTCTAATCCATTGACCAATGTGGTTGCTCTTACATGAAGAAGATGACCAGCAAGTTACCAACAGGAGGCTAAAATTAAGCAATCAGCAGAAATCTTGAGGGGGGGGGGGTCCAAAAAGCCAATTGCCAACTCTCCTAATGGAACATATGGATGTTTAGAAATGGTGATATTGGAATACTGGACAACTTCCCATCAAATCTGCGGGTCTCCCAGAAGCAATTTAGAGGCCTTGAAAGCTAGATTTCCCAGCAAAATTCTAGACTTTTTAGGTCTAAATCGACATCTGCAAGGGTCCCAGATCCGACGGGAAGTCCTCCACTGGAGGACTTCCCGTCGCGGTTTAGAGTGTTTTTTAGAGCTCTCTCAGTTCCAAATTAACCCTCTAATCACAAACTCAACTAGCTCACATGAGGGCCTTTACTACAAGGCTTCTGAAGAAAGATCTTTTTTTGCCAAAAATTAAGACCTTCATGGTGTAAATCCAATTCTGTGAGGGTCGTAAATGCCGACAGGAAGTCATCCACTTCCCGTGCAAACTGGAGCCGTTGTAGAAGTCAATCTAAACTTGAAAACTCTAGATTCTCACAAAGAAATTTGGGTTTTGAGGCTCTAAATCAGTTATTGGGGACCTGGAGATGTTGATGGGAAGCCTTCCATTATTCCCCAACACCTTTAAAATTTTGTAGTGCTGAAAGCTTCTTTTTGAAGTGATTGTAGACCCAATCAAAAATGTTGGAAGTCATCCTCTTTTTTTCTCTTGAAGGAATGATGCCCTACTGGCTACTGCACAAGATCCAACCATCCTAAAGTACTATTTACCTTGCTCATAATTTCATATCATCAGAAGTGACCAGAACCAAAAGCCAGTCTTTGACCTGCAAGTGAGGGATTTCAACAACAGTTCCCTCCAGTTGTTCCCAATTTTTGTGCACATGATAGAAAGAGTATCCATTTTTCAAAATTGAATCCTGTGGTACAGGCCCTAAGTGTCCTGAGCAAAGGGCACAAAATGAATTCTCATCTGCTTGGGGACAAAAATGTATTTCTTGTGCATGCTAATTACTTGTACCTTGAAGTGGAATACAATTCAAGGTGCCCAGCTCTTCATCAGGATAAGGATTTGTGAAGATCGGCATCCGGGAGGTGCACAACAGCCCGAACTCAACACAAAACCCAAGTCCCTCTGAGGAGGTCGCGCATTCAGAGGTTGTGCTGTACCGCAATCTCATCGGAGCCGGAGCCGACTGGCGTCAATGAAGTTTGACAACAGCTCATTCTGTTGAGCTCTGTTGCCTCAGGCCACCCGGCCCAGTGGGGTACAAAGGGAACTCGCGTGACCTGGCTTCAGAAGGACTTGGTCGATTTCAGATTTGTTCGCTTCGTTGGAAGAGACAATATAATCGCCATATTTCAGTCATGAGCAAGAGATTCAAGCACGGGCATCGACCAAGCTTACGTGGATATTGTAGACTGGAAACTTGGGAAGTCAAGAGCCGATAGCTTATGCCCAGATCAGGAAACACTCCGAGTTACGCTATGTTCTTTCCCCATAGATTCTGCATGGATATGTTGTACAGCCTGTCCACAGATAAAAACACTCCCTTAGCAGTCCAAGTGACGACGGCATGGTTCTTTCGATATTCCCATCGGCCCAACGGAGTTCAACGGGCAAGACGGATTGGGGACTATTGAGCTATCCATAAGTTGTGAATGATAGCTCAACTAGAATCTAGAAGACAACTCAGCTCAGACTCCCTACATCTGGTACACACACTCCCATCCCCTAAATTTATGACAAGCTGAGATAAAGAAAACATCCCTTTGATAGTCCTCATCAGCTCGAGCACAGTGCATGGGAAAGAGTTCCTTTCTTGTCTATGCTCGAGTTTATTCGTCTCTTTTTTTCTATTAGTTCCTACTCCTAGCAGACGCGCTTCATCTTATCTTCAGTCATTTTCTCTGCCTTACCTCATTCGCGTTCCACCAGCTAACATCTCATTCGAGAAATCCTCAGCTTCCTGGCTTGCAGCGGCATCTTATACATCTCTCACATCGCCTCCACCACTAATCGGTACCTCAATAAGTACTTCCGAATCACGATAGTTCCATGACGATTAGGCAAAGCATATCTTCCATGCCTTCGGCTTCAGTGCGTCGGACATGCTCAGAGGATACTGCAACTTCCTCATCAAATCATAATTCAAAGTGAAGTCCAGCAGCTTCTTTCTCCACGCGCTATCCTTTTTCCAATACAGATACTGATTCAATTTTTTTTACCCCCCGTGCAGTCCCATAACTTCATCCTCCGGCTCAAGCGTTGGAATCGAATTTCCGTCGGCGGCCACCCATCACATTGCTCCAGACGCGGAGAATGTTCACGTTTCAGCTCAAGAAACCGCCCCCTCCCAATTTCACTTCCCCGCTGTTGGACCACCACTAGTTGAATCTACAACGTTTTCCACTGGACCAATGGACGACACCCCAAGTCGATCGAACCGAACACCACTGGATCGCAGAATTTCACTTCCGCTGCTTGGGATTGATTTAGGCCGATCTGGACCATCTTACGGCCAGACTTTGAAGAGGATGAGTGTCGCGGTCTATGGTGTTGCTAGCAATGCGTTTGAACCAAAGGACAACAACGCCATGAAGGACTATGACTCAAGACCACACTCATTCTCTACAGACCGTGCCTCTGGCCACTCAGCTCATCTTGCAGAAACGAATTCAAGACCCACTGTTAGCATCTCAGCTTACGGCGAGGGATCGATAACTCAAAGTTATGACAGCTATGGAAGTTCTAATTCGGCCCATAGTGCAAGCCTACACGAGAAGAACGAATTTGAAAGTCATATGCCACCTTCACATCAATCAACACTAACGGCGGTCCAATCTATCTGTTCGGGTCGCAGTAAATCCATACGAAGCTCTAGACCGCCCGGTCTCAAGTCCCAGCGCGACCTGAAAGCACGGAATGTGAATCTGCCTTTCAAAACCAATGTAAAATATCCACTCAAAGGGCCCAAGCAAGACGAAGCCAGATCACAAAATTCCACTCTTCACAGCTCCTCGGACCCACAAGCTAATGGATATAATTCATTTGACATGGTTTCAAGTGCCAACAACTCGCGAAATTCTTTGGATTTTCCATCACCTCCCCTTGACGAAGCTCTCTGCCAAAAAAACTGCAAAAAGCAGCGACAGATCGTGAGGGAGCTGATCGAAACCGAGAGGCGCTACTTTGAATTGTTGAACAAAATTCAAACCAATTATATTTTACCTATTCAAGCTTCCCACCAGACAAATGATTACCAGGTAAGAAGACCACCTAATTTTGCTAAGGTTAATAAAAGCAATGTGAATGAAAAAAATTGATGCGTTGGGACTACTTCATCTTACATTGCAGAAATTCATTTTATCAAAAAAAACTACAGTGAATATTTTCTCAAATTTTGCTGCCATTCTTGGTCTCTCCGGACAATTTTTGGCCAGCCTGGAAAACTTCGGACGAATTCACAAACTGTTTGATCAACCTGTACCTCCTCAGTCAGCTACACTTGAGACGGCGTCCGACAGCTCCCAAAAGCTGCAACCATTGCACTTTCCCAAAGCTGAAAGTTCCGCGATCAAGAGGCTGAATATCGGAGAGACTTTGACAGAATTTTTACCATTTTTCAAACTGTATACAACATTCACCAGCAACTTTTCTGTTTCGCAATCTACACTTCATCTTCATTCGGCTAAACGTGGGCCCAGCCCAGCATTTTTCAATCTCCTGGAAGATTGTCGTCGACGCGGTGTTGATAATGGCTTAGGGCTAGCGCACATGCTCCTCGGTATCATTCAACGCGTACCTCGCTATGAACTACTGATAAAGGAGCTCCTCAAATATTCCGCACAAACCGACTCGGATTATCGGCATCTTTTGTCAGCCCAAACTATGGTTGGATGCGTTGCAAGGCGTTTGGAAATCGGAATGAACGAGCAAGCCGCAACAAAGACTATCCTCACGATTCAACGTGCTATGGAAGGACTTGCGTTCCCGCTAGTCATTCCCAGTCGTAAATTGGTCAAAATTGGCCAACTGAAAAAAATTGGCCGGAAGGGAGACTTACAAGATAGGGTTTTCTTCCTTTTTAACGACTGTTTGATTTACTGCGGCATCCTGAAAAACGGGAATGCGGAATCTGTGGAAAAGTGGCTAGGACAGCTTGCTGCATCCTTTAAAGACCCCAGTAGCGCTGGCAGTCTTCCCACTGGCCCTGTGAATGCATTGACAATGAAACACATTTCAACAAGTTTCCTGTTGCCGTTCACGCATGGAGACGACAACTCGCCTCGTTTGATCTTTTGTCGTAAGATGAATTTGCATGACGTAACTACGGTCGGCGCAGTTGGTGGTCGGAAGAATGAATACTTTACCGGGTTCCAAATAATTTCATCGGCTAAAAGTTTTGTTGTGTATGCAAGTAAGTAGCTTCTTGTTCGAGTTTTGTTTTCGTCAATCAGCATCAAGTTTGACCTAATCCTCTCATTTTACTATCCAGACAATGCAACTGAAAAGGAGAACTGGATTAGCACCTTAAGGGAAACCAAGAGCGAATTGCTTGACAGTCGAAGAACATTACATATTAAGGAAGAATTTAGTGATTCCGATAACACTTCACAATCCAGCAAACTTAGTTCTATCCTTGAAGGCCCAGCTTCTCGTGGATACTCGTGGCTTTCGCTTGCTTCCAGCGAAGAGGATTCCAATTCAGCGCCTGCTGACAAATTGACTGAAAGAACTCCCCAGAAGCCAAAGAACAAGCCTTCGGGGCTATCTTTCCCCGCGCTTGCACATTACAGATCGCCCGGGAATGGCTCAATGTTTACCAACCTCCTATCGCCTCGTGCAAGGCTTTATTCCACCCCTTCGAAATCATCTATCTTTAACTGGAAGCCGTCGGTCAACTTGAGCATCCCACCCCTAGCCAACCAAATGACTCAAATTCTTGAAGGCATACAAGAAGCCCATGCTGGATCCATATCTGAGCAGATGAGCCCGCGGGTCGAACCAGCTGTCTTGCCCGAGCTGAAAACTTCCAATCACACACAAAACCAACTCAACGACCAACCCGAGGCTCCAAGGAAACAATTTGGAATGAAATATGTTGCGGAGAACTATTGCGCACCTGTCTGGGTTCCTGATAACCATGTTCACAGATGTATGGGGAAATGCCAGGCCGGGTTTAGCGTTCTTAAGAGAAGGCATCACTGTAGGTTGTGTGGTGGAGTGTTTTGTTCGAGTTGTTCATCCAGGGTAAGTCTTGATCTTATCATTGATATTGGTAGGCTTGCAGGATCTGAAAGTATGCTTATGTGTATGTTATATTTACTTTCCTCGCTAGCTTTTTGTGATCAGGAACCAAGAGCAAGGCGATCAGCTAGCCAGAGCCTGTGAAGCTTGCTTCCAGTCAGTATTCTTGGACGTTCATGATGGGAAAGCAAAGCAAACGACGGGAGATGATGGATTTTATCGGCCCATATTGTCCAATAGACCGCACGACGATCAAGATCTAGTACTCCGAAGAGAAAGGCCCCATCTCAGACATGCGCATCGTCAAAGTCTCCCCATGGACTTGGGCTCGGCGCACTTTCGGCACAGCAGTCTAGCTAATCTCCGAGAAGATGACCAGCGCCGTTCAATCGTATCTACAGTAACGAGTGTGGGAAGTGACACGGGCTGTGGAGTCACAAAAGCTGATGAGCTGAACGATTTCTCAAAAAATGAGCTGAATTCACTCGAAGAAGTCTCCAAGGACACTCCCAGCTCGATACCAAGCCCTTCCCCAGCACCCTCGCAGACGCACGCGCGTCAAAGGCTTACCAGTCTTCTCCAAAGTCGATCTCGTTAACAAGTAGATAGATCTCTTCAACATATATCGATCGTCGCTGTCTTTGACAAATCATATTTATCCACATCATGCCTTACACCCGGTGCCAATCTTGTTTGTTGAGAAGAATCACTTCATTCAATTTTGTTCAGGGAAAGTGAGCCAGCCAGACAGACGATTGAAGATGGGCCCTTCAGTAGCGACACCATTCTTATTTATATCTTTTTTTTAAAAAAAAGGCGAGGACAAATCTGTATCCATTCACTTCAATATGTCATTTTCCCATCATCTTCAGTAGTTCAGTTCCAAATACATTTCTGACCCAATAATCAAATCCCCTTACGCAAGCGTTTTCTCTCTTCTTCATTCTCTCTCTTTTTTCCTCACAACACCTCAAGCCCTGGCTGTTTTTCTTTCTTTCTATGTTCTTTTATGATATCAATAATTACTCAATGTGAATGCATAACATCGGTCATATCTATCTATCTGTACATTCTACACTTAGTCAATGCTAAGAATGCTGAGCATGTTCCCAAGATACACTGAATTGCAACCTTAGCTAAACTTGTATTCATCGACCCCTATACATACAACTTAGTCAGCCATTGGCTAGACAAGATATGAAGTTGATGGCTCCTTGACGATTCGTCTTGGGAAGGGCCATTGTAGACGACCCCCTTATTTAGAAACTCGAATTTTCGCAAAGAACTCCTGGTGACTGAGTAATGAACACATTGCGGCGGAGCATAGCGGAAGAGCCTGTAGCCAACGCTGAATGCTGTACATGGCCGCAGCACAAGCAATATAGCGACTTCATGGAAGACACATGGGAATGAAAGAGTTGAATGAAAAGGATTTCCGAAAACAGCGGTGTTTCCTAGTGTTTCTCAGCGGCCGGGTTCACAGGGTCACGCTGCCCAGACAATGCAAGTCAAGGTTCTGAACTCTGCGAAGAAGCAAATTTGAATCAGTCGATTCACTTGAACACCCCTTTAATCAAACGGTGTAGATTTGTTCTGGCAGGTATCCAGGTCCGTCTTAAAAGCAAGTTTGCTGGGCACGCAGTGAATGCATGTATGGTTGTTGAGACGCCACATGATAGCAGGTGATATCATTTTCATCACTGGTCGGCCGCCGCCAGCTTTGAGAGATGATTTCCGCACTCTCCGTAGGGCTATCCCAGTGCCAAGATACACAGGCTGTCGTTGGGCAACAGGCATATTAACCCGGCCTCTGAGCTATCTTATTTCTTTTCTCCACTTTGGTAACCTATCGAATATAACAATTGAATCTTATGCTTTGTCAACTTCAGGAAGGTCGTAGCTAAATAGTTGAACATACTGCTAGTTGTAGAATATTCGAAATGGCGAAGATTTTGGACCTTCCGGACGATGTCTTTGAGATCATCTACAGATACCTAGTCAGAATGAATGACAAGCTGGCGTATCACTGGTGTCGTCAAACTCGGATTCCCATTTCAATGCCAGTGGCAGCTAGATTGAGACTGGTCTGCCGAAAATGGGCAGACTGGTTATACATTCATCACTTATATCATACGTTGACGTTTAATAATGCTTCGCGAGCGACAAAGTTCCTCAATCAAATGACTAAACGTTCGAACCTCCTTCCGCGCGCAAGATGCCAACGCTTGATAGTTGATTGCCTTTGGACTGCAACGGGTACAACTCAGGGCTTGGAATCACTGCTAATCAACTCTACCGTGTTGGAAGCTTTGATTACGCTATTTCGTGATACAATTGTCAAACTCGATCTCGAATTCGCACATTTTTTCTCGCTGCATATTCGAACCATCAGACTTATAGGGCGTGTTGAAAACTTAAGCGTCCTTCGATTAGGTCTCCAGTTTCCGGAATGGATCACGACGAAGGAAAGACTTCCAACACACGTTGATCCCAGAACTTATCACCACGATTCCGATTGTCTGCGCTCAATGATCGTGATAGCGCGACAACTGAAGTCACTTGATTTGACCAAGTTGGATCCTATTTTCCTATCGAATGATTTCGGATCAAGCCTGGCTATCTATCGACTTCCTGCAATTACTCAACTAGACATCAACATAGAGTGGCCGAGCTTGGACGGCATCTTGAGCCTTGCTATTGCGCTCCAGCGGACTCTCAAAGTACTTTCAATAACTGGCTTTGCCAACGAATCTGATGGCGAAAGGCTTCTACCGGTCTTCACTCATCTCAAAGGAACTCTTGAAGGTCTCTTTCTAACGAGCGAAACGATATTGAAACCGATCCTCAAGTTCAAATTTCCCAAACTACGCGTCTTTACTATCCACCAATGGAGCGTTCCTCTGAGCAGTTTTTTGGGCCAAGAGATGTTCTCGTCCGCACCGATACAAGTCCTTGCTCTTGATTCCGATGTAGTCCATTCCGAACCTACTCTTTTGGTTGACCCGTTTGCAAAGTTGCCCAAGTTGAGACGGCTAGCATTTCTGAATTCCCATTTGGATTATTCACCCCCGCCAGTGTACGAGAAAGTGTGCAGATATCATCGGGTAGAATGTGTTTATCTTAACCATGCTAATGTATCCAAGATAATGGTGAGTTGGTTTAGCTTCACATGAATTCAGGAAGGAAGCCTAGGCTAATGAATTTTTTTCTCTTGGGCTTAGAATTTATAAATCGATTTACAACCCAGTCAAAAGCAATTTTTGTCAATGTTTATTTTGATTTATGTTCCTGTTACACACAACTGTCTGACTCTGAACCCAGCATTTACTATGGAGAGTTTCACTGAAATTATAATTATAAAGACTGTATATGAAAAAGGATCCAACATACAATCACAATTATTCTCCAGTATTTCTAATAGAAAATTGAACATAACTAAGGGCCTGAACCATATGGCATGGAAATTCAATTTTTAAAATCCATCTTGTTCAAAATTTCATATCATCAAAATTGAACATAGCTAAAAGCAGCTCTTTGGCCTGAAAGTGAATAATTTCATTACCAGACCTCTCCAATTCTTCCTGGTCTTTGTGTAGAAGATGGAAAAAGATGAAACCTATGGTAAAGGCCCTAAGATTCACTGGAGAATGGGTTGTATTGGTTACAACCCCTGTGGTTTACTGGAATGGAGACAACCAATACAAGATTAAGATCTCAGACCAATCTTATATTGGCTGGGCCTACCATTACATGAAAAAAGGGACAATGCATGGGTGTTCCCAGCTGATGTAAAATCTTTCTGGGAGACCAATCTTTTGTTGGTTGACTCTGTTCAACCTTATTGAAGTGGGTTGTAAGTTGTAACCAATGTAGATTTTCAATTTGGTAGTGATTGAGTCTCAGAGGCATTTGCACTTTTTTTGATGTTAATGGATCAAAACATATGGCATTTTCAATGGTGGGGTATGCTGACAGTAGCAGAGTTCATAATTTGATTTATTCATACTAATCTCACATTGCTTATGACTCATGCTGAAAGCTGAATTCTAGCCCAAAATCAACAGAAACAAAATCAACACAAATCCACTCAGAAACCGTTTTTGGTTTCTGAAGGGTTTAATTGATCCAGGAAGGACAAATACTTAAACTTTTTGATTATCTTGCCTTGATGTGAAATTGTTTTGATTCTGTTGGTCTGTTAAATGTGAACTGATAGAATTTATGGTGGAGAATGACCCACCTATTTGATTTTTCATATCATTCCTGAAACTAAAGGCTCCAGGATTGTTTTGACCAGCTGTCAAGCTCAGAGCCCAGTTATACAGTTGTCAATTTTGTTTGTTCTCTCAGTGAACATTACTTTTTTTCCACTGAACGGGTTGGAAACCTGGCCCAAACTTGGCCCATTCTTCACCCTATGGCAGATTTCAATTGTGAAATCCCCAATTAACCTAGGGTATGGTAGCCACAACAAAATTTTTGAATTAAACCCGGATTGACAGCGTAAAAAATCCCAACAATAGCATTATCTGGTGACCTTTAAAATGTCCATTAAGGATTAAAAACTGATATTTCATTTGTTTTTTGGGAAAATAAACATATCTATAATTAGCAGGATTGATTGAGAAAATAATCAAATCAAAACATAATGAAGCATCAATATTTCAAGAATGTAATTAATAAGGAATCAAAAAACAACCACTCAAGATTCAATCCCTAAGGGAGATCTTGACAGCAATGGGTCTATACTATACTTTACTATAACTGGCCCTTTTCAGTATAGTAAAGTTTCTTCAAATTTCTGTTTACTATACCAATACTATAACCAGTGTGTTTCCCACCAAGCTTGGTATAGTATAGGCCACTTTTTGTGGCTCCAAAATTGCAATATATTGTAAGGGCCTTAGCTTTATCAACCATGAAGTGAACTCCAGAGAGCCCTTCTGTGGTCAAGAGACTCTCATAAGTAGCTGTAGATGTTTTTATCAGCATCCAGGGTAGTTTATAGTAGAGTAAATCACCCAAAAAAATTTCCTGTTCTCCTCAGTTATAGTAAAGGGCCCTTAAAATCAGACTATAACCACACCCTTTATAGTAAATTTGGAAATATATATACTATAACAATACTATACCAATAACTGTAAAGTATAGACCCAGTGTTGATCTTGAGAACTGGCTGTGGAAGTATCTTGGAACAATCAGGTCTGGTGCTACTTGGTTAAACTGATGTGCTATGCTTGTAGAAGTGAAGCACAGCAGTTTTGTGCTACAGGGGGTGCCACTGTAGCATATCCATCTACCACCACACCTAATCATAGCATGCTCTGATATTTACAAATATCATGAGCAAAGGCATAGTTAAATTTTTGTGCTTATGCCACAGATAATTTCAGAATAGAAAAAGAAATTCTGCTTAGTATAGCCAAAAAACTACTACTTTGGTGCTACCTAGCAACAGTGGGCCGCTACGCTACACTACACTATTTGACCACTAACTGTTAGTGTAGTGGCCTTTTTATTTCCTGGAAATTCTGTAGTGTTAGCTGACGCTAAACCCCACTACGCTAACTGTTAGTGTAGTGTAAATTTTTCTCTCAAATTTTTTGGTAGTGTTAGCTTCAAATAATTACAGCTAAACTAACAGTTAGTGTAACTTTTTTTGCACTAGCAAAATTTTGACTGTCAGATAGTGTAACTGATTTAAAGCTAACATTTAGTGTAACTTTTACCAAATTAAGCTACGCTACACTACACTACATGCCTAGTTACGCTACGCTACGGTAGAAGTTACACTACACATGTAGTGTAGTGTAAATCATCAATTAGAGAAATTGACATGTCAAGTGAGAATTTATGCTCTTGAACCCTCTTCCTCGGCTTTCTGTTTTCAATGGACAAGTTGTGTGAACTGTCCATATAACTGATACGGCTGAGGTCCATAGTGATGATTTTCAATGTCCTATGATCACACACAATCCCGCAGAAAATGAACAGCATAAGATGTAGAGACAAACAAACGGAGTATGTGCCTGGTGAGATTTGAACTCACAACCTCAGCAAGTGTAGCTGTTTAATCTTTAGTATTTTGGGCAGCTTTAAATTATTTACTGGTGCCACACTTTCAGTCTTTGGATACAAAATTGGAGAAACACTGGGCCGCTACACTACACTAAACAGCCCACTACTGTTAGTGTAGCGGCCCTCAAAACAGCACACCAAACCTGCAGTGTTAGCGCGCTGCTAGTGCCACTACGCTGCGCTACAGCGCTTTTAGAGGCAAAAAAGTCCCAAAAACCACTAAAATATGCTGTAGCACAGCATAGTGGGCCTTTTTTTCAGCCCACACACGTAGCGTTAGCACAGATTTTTGTATCTGCGCTAACACTACTTTAAAATGTAGCATATTTTTGCTACACTGCGCTAGACTAACGCTACTATTAGTGTAGCTGGCCCAGCGTTGATTGGAGGCTTACCAGATTTTTATCATATAAACTCACTTTCTTTCTCAATGCTTAGTTTTGCCCAACATATATTTTAACATCCTTCTCATCAACTTGAAGAACTAAGGGCTTTTTTGATATGCATCAATCAGGTTTCAGGATCAAACGTTTTCTCCTTATGGTGGGTATGTTTAACATTTACCCTTGCATCATTGATTTTCAGAAAAAACTAAAACAAGGAAAAGTGAAAAAAAAAAACAATAAAATCTTTTCAAATGGTTTACTTGAACATCTGAAAAGAATGTGAAAAGAATCCACTTCATCTTCAGTTTCAAATAAAAAAAAATGCAAAAAGAGATTTTTTTGCCTATATAAATTAGAACAAATATCTTATTTTCAAACTTTCAAATTTTTCTTATTGATTTGAAGTTGAAAATGAAGAAATATTGGGGGTTTATAGCCTGTGGAAAGAATCATTCAATGAAAAGAAGGTTCAAGTTCATCTAGAGCAACTCCTTTTGATGAAAATTTACCACTGTTAATTCTATTCAAGATATTATTATAGTTTGAATGGAAAACTATCTGGTTTATTATTGATTTTATTATTTTGTAATATTTTCCACTTTCCACCACATTTTTTATTTGACCTCTGCCTGTCTTCTCTATCCAATATTTGACCATCTTCCAAGGCATTGTAAAATATTTGAAGTATGAATTCCTCAAGCTACTGTGAAATGATTCATTTTCCTTGAGGTTGACTAGATCATGGAACAGATTTTCAACAGATTCTTCATAGTTTGTTTCATGATGTTCAACAACTGAACATTTTTTCCAGAAGTCTTCAAAGAAGTCTACAAGATTCATTAAATCTTGTTTCTTTAATTCATCCGCCTCATGTTCACCAAATAGAGAAAGATACAAAATTATCAATATTATTGAGATCTTGGTTATATCTTTTAGATATTTAATCCTTGATTGTACTTGATTCAATTTGTAAGCTTTTACCTTTCGGGTTTCACTTTGGAGGCTTGGTTCAAATCTAAGTATCATTTTATCTCTAATATCTGTGAAGAAACAAAAATAATTTTCAAGGCTGAGTTTTCTTTCTGAAATTTCAAAAAGTATTCGGAGAATCTCTGAGGATCTTTTAGATTCACTAATGAAATCTGGATAGGCAAATCTATCTTTTTTGGGAGTTGAAACATATCTTAGGAAAAAAATAACATCTTTATCCCTTGAAATACAGAAAACCTTTCCAGAATCTTCCTCATCTTTCATTTTTCTCAGAAATTCAAATAAATTTACAACCGGTTCAAGTCCTCCATCTACATTTAAAATTTCATGTTGTGGATCTATCTTCACATAATTCCAGTCAGATACATTTAATATTTGATCTTTCTTCTGATTTCTTTCTGGTTCATTATTTATGTTTTCCTGTAAATTGGAAATATCACTTGATGGATCTTGTGGTTCTATTTTGATATTCTGCACTTGAGCCTGATTTGGTCTAGCACATGATTTGCTACTTGATTCATCATTAGGAATCATATCTTCCTCCTTTGGAAATGCAAGTTTTTTCTCTGCCCCATATCTTGACTTTTTATTTCTCTTTTCAGAATCCAAGAGGCCTTGTTCACGTTTTATGGAATTGTTTGGATTGTGGAGAGTGGGAGAGTGATACGGTTTGTAACTTGGTTCAATACATTCTTTTTTCACATTCAGATCTTCTCCAGAAGCCGAAAAGGATGGTATTGAAAATGTGGAAGGAATCAGTGCATCTGCTGTCCCCTCTTGTGGCAACTCATTCAAATTGAAACTAAGATCCTTTTTTCCTATTGTGGATGGTGGTAATGCAAGGCTGCATTTTTCTATGATATGAAAGATCAGAGGAGAGTACTTGAAAAACCAAAACTGCATGTTGGTTCC